CATGCCACCCGACATCTGCGGAGCAGCGGCAATGATAAAAGAATGACTGAGTCATGTTTAACCCGAATTTCCGATTCGCGATGATCTGCTGCCATATTGCATAAGTTAATTCATGGCGGTACTGTTGTACCATGTGGTCTTCCTAGCAGATGATTGGCTGGGTTTAGTGAGAGTGATGACGTCATCCCTAGCAACCACACTCATGTCACTGAACATTGTGATACTGCTAGGACATTTATTATTACTGGGAATCTACCAACGCATTCTGGATGTTACTACAATCACAGTTATATCATGGGACCTTTTTGCTGGTATCAAAGTATGAAAAATAAGAATAGGTTTTACCCTTTCTGGCAATAAAACAGGTGTTAAAATGTTCAAACACCAAAAGTATCTAAAAGGTATATAATTGGTGTTTGAACGTCTTACCACCTGTTTTATTGCCAGAAAGGGTGCAACCTATTCTTGTTTTTCATATAATCACAGTATTGAGACAATATTTTACACGCATTTTGTGTACTCTTCACAATGCCATCACAACAAATAACACAAAAAGTAGACTATGCACATGCTTCAATCCCTTGGAAATGCTCTACGTATCCAAAAGATCTGATGCAGGACTGCTGTAATTGTGATTCCTAAAACTGGCAAAAGACCCCAGCAACTACCGACCTTCGATTTAAAGCTTTCGTGACTGCAGGGATTCATCTTCTTGGTTCTTTCGGTAAAGTCACGTAGAATGGAAATAATAAAATAATAAAAATAAAACATAATAAAATAATTCTCACGACGTTTCGGCCACAACGCAAGCAGCCGTTTGCGTTGAGAAGACAGACTCTGTGGCCGAAACATCGTGACAATTATTTTATTATGTTTTATTTTAATAATTTTATTATTTCCATTCTACGTGACTTTACCGAAAGAACCAAGAAGATGAACTACCGACCTATATCCCTACTGTGCTCCATCCGCAAGCTCATGCAGTGGCTCATCCTTCGATGAACATTTGCCATCTGAACAATGCTGCCCTTCAGGTGGGGCGTCCGCACTAAAGGTCAAATCCCCCGCCTGACTCAAGAGGCTGAGGATACATTTGAGGCTGGTCAGAAGGTAGACCTTACTGCAGTCTGTGTCACCATTGAGCATGCTGGCATCACTGAATAACTGCTACATACCATCGCATGCCGGTCATTCGCCAGCATCATAATGGAAATTACGAGCAACCACAGTTTCATCCTATCAATCAGAGACCAAAAAATCAGGTTACAAAGACTTTCAATTGGTCTAACACAGAAACCTGTATAAGCACCACTTCTGTTTCATATCCATACAAATAACCTTCGAAAAAGCACAGCTCAAAAGTGCATATTCATAGCTGACGTAGGTTTTAAAACAACCAGAAAAAAAACTGGACGAGATCAGTGATGTGCTCAGCCTAGGTATGACCATGCTAGAAATGGAAGGTCAGTACAACCTTCCATCTCAACCATCAACAGGCCAACACCTTGACGTGAGAGTAGGCAGGCTTCTCCTTTTCATGAACATGCCACAAGCTACTTGGAAGTAAAACTTGACAGGGACAGTTTAAGTTCTGGTAACCCTAATCAGGTAGCTTGCTTACACGTCACTGGGACACAGGCCTCTGTCAGGCAGTCCTCATCTGTCTGAGTAATGCACAGCCATCTGGTGTCATAATCACCACCTTTATTTACTGTAGAGTTTACTGAATACTGTAATATGTATTGTTGGTGGCTTCCTAATGGCTTACACCAGTCATAAACCTACTATATCCGGCATCCCTCTGACACAGCTGCAGCGTGACACCATCACGCAAACATTTGTCTGGCATGCTCTGGCAGACAAGAATGCCATATTTCTTCACTGTCTTGTCTATCCTCTACAAATGGCAGTCAGACTCCTGATGTGTCAACTGAGAAGCTGGCAACGATGCCTCGAACTGCTATGGTGCCCCTCATATCAACAAGCTTTGTGACAGAAGCTCGTGGTCTTGTGGCTCACAGTGCCAGAATTATCCCATCAACTGCTGCACCACATTGGAGGGACCTTGTCCTATATGATTGTTACTTAGTAGTGACAGAAAAACGGAGATGCAGATCAGACTGCATTACACCTCCACTACCCAACAGCCACACGTGGATGAGCATCAATATCCAGATTGTCTTGGACCAGGCTTAACTGTTTTGTGGCCATTGGAGTTTTTGCACACTGATGCACCATTTGCTTTGTGTGCCACCCCTACATGAGATTGTGCAGCTGCTCACATAAACAGCTGTCCCATTGTTGAGTGCTATCCATTACACTGACAATAAGGTAAAATTAGAAGGCAGATTGTACTAAATTAAGTGGAGATCAAGTCGTTAAGTCTCTTGGATATAGACCTTTAATAGCAAATGCAAGAAGAACACGAACGATGTTCACTGCTCGTCCATACATCACATGTGTAATGGTCATGATAATTGAGATTCTAAGGAATGCACATACAGACTTGATGATGACGAACCAAAATACATGATGATAAATGATACACCCAGAGATATGATGATGAACCCAGAGACATAACTATGACGATAATCCCAGATAATGATGGTCATGATATAGACACGATAAAACATTTTTTTTCTATCACATTTGCTGAGCGCACAACGGCCAGCTCTATTTAAGATGCAATAGCTGAGGTGATATGTTTTTGCATTGAGTAAGGGTTGTAAGAACCTGATAAGTTCTAAAAGTCGAGTTGTGTGAAGAAATAAACTAAAGGAGTCGTGTTTTGACCAGCACGATGGTAGTTGAAAAAAGTATTAATGAAACAAAACAGCCAGTCTGATGGCTGGTTGATGGAGAGTCCTATTAGGGGCCGTCCATAAATGACGTCACGCGATTTTGGACGATTTTTGACCCCCTCCCTCGTCACACGGCGTCACAAAAAGTCAGACCCCCCCCCCTCAAATATAACGTCACAAAGCTCTGCCCCCCACCCCCCCCAAAAATAAAACATGCTTCAAATCGCTTTAAACTATTGTCATTGTAGTGCGTATTTAATGTGGCGCTGCACTCTGATGTTGTAGGAGAAAACATTTATTAAAAAGTATATTTAATTAAGTAGAACGTGTTGTCTATATTTATTTAAAGTTGCGCATTTTGATGTGACGTCACATTTCTCAAACCCTCCCCCCTCGTCACACATCGTCACAAATGTCTGACCCCCCCCCTCCCCTAGGTGCGTGACGTCATTTATGGACGGCCGCTTAGCACAGTTTGCGACGTACGGTGCAAAAGTTCAACAAACATAGTCCTCAACATGAATGAAGGAATCAATCATTGAAAGCTCACGGGAACAATAATCATGGGAGTAACAATAAAATAGTGATAAGGAGACTATACTAAGCATCATTGAGGGAGTCAATGGAGTGACTGCGTGAGTGGTGGATCATCAACCTGGTTACCTACGTTGCATCATATCAAGGATAGTATTGTTAGTTATGAACTGCGTGCTCCACCCCAGATATGACAACAGAATTCCAACCTTGGCAGAATTTACATGTTGTATAGTTGTAATAAAGTCTCAGAGTTAAAGAAGGAAAATTATCTTCTTGGTTCTTTCGGTAAAGTCACGTAGAAGGGAAATAATAAAATAATAAAAATAAAACATTAAACAATGTATTTGTTTTATTTTATTATTTTCCTTCTACGTGACTTTACCCAAAGAACCAAGAAGATGAATCCCTGCAGTCACGAAAGCTTTAAATCGAAAAGGAAAATGATGTTAAGCTTATTCAATTACTCCTTAACCATATTAGACATAGACAATTGATCTGACCCACAAAGATCTTTTTACAAGTGTCCAGACCAAGCTGGTGGGCAATGACAGTTGTCTGAGGAAGTTGCATGAGTAGTTAAAGACATAAACTTGAACAATAACCACATAAAATAGAAAAGGGAGCATAGCAATACTAAACAATTTACACAAACGATACTTACAAATTCAGTTTCCAAATCAGTAGCAAATAATTTATAGTTTAGCCATTCTGTGACAAGCACCCCACAAATAAAAAATCGGCCCCTGCCTCACGTTCCCACTCTGTTATGTGCCTGATTAATCTTGTTCTAAATTAATAACCCAATCATTCTTTCGTGGAAGGCAGTGGGGTGACAAGAGAGGGCGACAAAGAGGATAGTTTGAGAGACAGGGACAGGCACGAAAGAACATTTAACCAGGTCACGTTGCCAGCCAGGAGTCATTTAATTAAATATCACAGAGAAATATAACCCCGATCATAAGCTCATATGGCAACATAAGTCAGTGAGTGAAGTAGTTTATTTTTGGTAAAGTCCATTAAGCCAATAAGCTCTTTGTCAAAACGGCTGAGCATGTGACATGAGAAGAGGGTTCACGTGGGTTGCAGAGAACAAAAGCAGGAACATTTTTATATACATGACTAATAAATAATAATTACAATACTACTTACAATGGAAATCTAGTAAGGCAGGGTGGAATGTTGACTCCCCTCCATCCATGCATCCCTCCATACATATATCTATCCACCTATCCGTATATTCCTCCCTCCCACGATCCCTCCCTTCCGTGACCTCCGCTGTTCAGAGGAGAGGTTAAGATCACTGCCATAATGGAAAGGAGTCGAGTTGCTGCAAAATGACTGTGTCCTGTCACCCGCGAATACCTAACCCCCAACCCGACCACACTCTCTCCCTCAAACCCCCCTGCCCTGTCCCTGGTAGAATAGGGGTAACGAAGGCACTCTCGTCCCTTGATCACTGCCGCCCTCTAACAGCACGAATGGAGGGGCGGGGGGGGGCATTGTGAGGGGGCAATGGGGGAAGAGACAGTGGAGGAGGCATTGGGAGGGAACAGAGGGGGCTTTGGGGGGGAAAGACACGGGGTAATGGAGGTGGGGGGGGTCATTGACGCAATTGGGGGTCATCGAGATAGATTGGGTGGGGGTCTGGGTATTTTGCTTTAAAACCACACCACCGGGTAGTGCAAACACTCCCAGTCCTCTACCCCTGGGTGAGTGTGGGATGTGTGTGTGGTTGGGTGTGGGTGTATGTGGGGTGAGTGTGGTTTCAGTGTGGGTTGAGTGTGTGATGTGAAGGAGTGAGTGTGGTGTGATGGAGGTGAGTGTGGGGTGTAGGGTGAGGGTAGTGTGAGTGTGGTGTGTATTCTTAGGTTTTTTCGGTAAAGTCACGTAGGTAAAACATCAAAATTAATAAAAATAAAATAAAGATCACGACGTTTCGGAGGCAACACAAGTCTCCGTCATCAGGTGGGACCGTCACAGCCAGATCAGCTGCATCACGGTCCCACCTGATGACGGAGACTTGTGTTGCCTCCAAAACGTCGTGATCTTTATTTTATTTTTATTAATTTTGATGTTTTACCTACGTAACTTTACCGAAAAAACCTAAGAATATGAATCCTTGCAGTCACGAAAGCTTCAAATCTAAATTGTGGTGTGTGTTATGAAGGGATGAGTTAGTAGACTTTTCCTGGTAGGATGGGGATGGTTTAGTTTTATTTGTAAGTTTTTGGGTGATTGGTTTACCTTTCTCGTACTTTGCACAACTGTCATGTTTTTGAATTGTTTGTTTTTGTAACGTTCTTGCCCGCCCCTACTGGACATGTGAAACAGAGCTTTACAGCGCATCGGATTTCTCCTGTATAAATATTCTGATAGTGGGCAAGGTAGTGGAGAAAATGAGTGTGAGATGTGCTGGCTAACAGCACTTTCCCCCAGTGTGTACTGCTCGCATTGGAATCTTTCTCTTCTATGTACAGTTAAAACATTATGTGGATGTATATTTGTACGTGTATATACTCCATGTATATATGTGTGTTTGTGTTATATCTGTCAGAGGGGAGCTGTAGTGTAGCGGTTAGCGCGCTGCACTACAAACCCAGCAACCAAGGTTCGATTCCCAATCACGGCCAACACCAGTGACGATTATCTGAACTGGTCACGGGCCTCCCCTAGGTCGACTCGACCTCAAATGAGTACCTGGTGCAGTGTGTAAAAACATAGCCACTGGGGAAACGAAAGCAGTCAGACGTGATGTTGTCCACCCATCCCTTTGTGTGCCGTGCCAGCCTTCATAGGTGCTCACTAACAGCACTTTCCTTAACAGTCTGTTAAGGCTATATGGGGGATTTTGTCTTTGTGTTATAAAAATGTATATCATTGTGGAACGGTGAGTGATGGAAAAGGCTATGAAAGACCTTCATCCAGCAGAGGACTGATCATGGCTGATTTGTGTGTGTGCAGGCTGTACTGGTCCTGCCCTCCGTGCATCACCTGTGACCTGACCAAGAAAATAAGGTGAGACCAGTTCGAATCCAGGATAGCGTATTTTTAAATCCTTTATATTAAGTTTACTTGCTTGCTTGCGCGCGGTCGTTTTTTAACACACTTCCCGTGATCCAATAGAGCTGCCATTTTGCACACAGACTCGTTGTGACAATTTATTTTCGTGAAAATTTTTTTCCAAGATTTTCCACTTTTTAGGAAAATAAAAATAAAAATGAAACTCTTACTCAAGAAAAACATAAATGAATAATCAAATAAAACCGATGCCACGCATATAAAGAATTTATAGTGAAAAACGTTGTGTTTACGGGTTAATTTTTTCTTGTTCACTCACAGCTTTATAATCACGACTCCACATCACGCACACCTGATATTGATAACAGCGTTTGTGATTAAGAAGCTGCTTTTTCTACTCCGCTGTTGCTCCTGTTCGGGTGATAGTGTCACTGCTGATGATGCCAAACATGATTTTGACGACTGATTATGCTTATGAATATAACTTTTTAGATAATTTACAGCACCTTGTCAACCCATGCCATATCGATCATGGGGGTGTTTAACCATACTTCACCAGACTGGTCAATCAGGGCTGTTGGTAAAGTTGTGGAAAAGAGTCCCAGAATCGGTTCAGATAGCACTCACCACTGAAGTTAGCCATGCCCAGGACGTCCATATCGCAGTGCGTATACCACTGTGCCACTGCTCCACCCTTTGCTCCTTATGATGATGGTGCTTGTTGTTACTAATCATGATGATGATACGAACAATGATGCACACGCGCCCGCAAGGGTGGGTAACCTAGAGACGTGGAAGCCCTCCCGAAATGTGAAATTCACTGAACTATTGAACGCACGTACAAATATAATTAAATCTGAATTAATATAAAATAAGTACAAAAATGTATTGTGAGCCAACATCAATCAAAACAAAGAAAAAGTCAAGTAAAAAAAGTTAATATTGACTGCATTTTTCTATGAAGACACTATCTGATCCGTAGAGGTAGACTTTCATAGGGTATGGACCACAAATTCAAAATCTCGAGCACTTGAGTTTTTCACTGGACTCTGGGTACCTCGAGCAATCACTTCAACAAAATAAACTTGAAACTTGATGTCACTGGAGCGGAGTAAGATATGGGGTTCAAAGCCATGAGGCTCATGTGGATAACCCAATCCCTGATCGTGTAAGGTCTTGCGTAGGTCAGTAAAATTAGCTGTAAGGTGCTTTGACACTGCAGGCCACAAAGTATGGGCCTGACATGGCATGATCGAAGTAAACCAGTCAGCAGAGGTCGCAACCGGGTACCCGATACCCGTACCCTACCCGATACCCGGCTACCCGTACCCAGCTGGGTACGGGTACGAGTACCCGTTTGCGACCCTGGTGCGGCCGGGTACGGGTACAGGTAGGCCGTGAGTGATCGGTGAGTAACCGTTTGTCACTCATTTCGGGTAGGGTATGGGTACGGGTAGCGTACGGGTACCTGTACCCGGCCGGGTACGGGTACGGGTACCCATTTACGACCCTGGTGCGGCCGGGTACGGGTACGGGTAAGGAATCAAAACCCGTTTGCGACCTCTGCCAGTCAGCAATCTAGCAGTTACATTCTGCACCAGCTGAAAGTGGTGATTATTGCCCCCCGCTCCACCCTTTATCACAGGACATATTATATTTAATAAGCCCCCAGGGAAATATTTGCCTCCAAGGCATAAAATAGTCAAGGCGGGCAGTCACAAAAGCATGGAATCAACGTTGGAAGATTATGAGGTAGGGCGGGATGTTTAATCCGAGTGATATTAATCAGATGGTAAATCGAGGTCTCGATGATGATGAAGATGATGTCGATGATGATGCACACCCCCAGCAAGGATGGCTGACCTGTCAGAGTTCGGAGAAGCGGCGCCCTACCTGCGGAAGTCAGATAAGGAGCGTCTGGAGGCACAGACGCGGCCCTTCGACATGAAGAAGAACGTCTTCGTCAATCACCCCAAGGTCGAGTTCATCAAGGCCCTCGTGCAGAGCGTGGACGATGGAAAATACACCGTGGAGACGGCGGATGGCGAAGTGAGCTCTGCACACGCGCATAGACACACACCCATAGATGTCCGCAGAAGCAGAAACACACAGATGTAATACACTTAATTACAAACACACATGATCGAGGTAAACCAGTCAGCAGAGGTCACAACCGGGTACCCGATACCCGTACCCTACCCGATACCCGGCTACCCGTACCCGGCCGGGTATGGGTACCCGTTTGCGACCCTGGTGCGGCCGGGTACGGGTACGGGTAGGCCGTGAGTCACCGGTGAGTAACCGTTTGTCACTCATTTCGGGTAGGGTACGGGTAGCATATATATGCATGTGTGTGTGTATATATGTAAACACAGATACATAGCCATTTGCAATCCATTGATATATGCACACATGCATAGACGTACCAATAAATGTATGCAGACACATACATATGGAGTACCTATGGAAACTAGACAGTGGATAGCTTGGGGGGACAAGTAAGCTGCGCACACAAGCATAAACATACACAATATATATGTATGTTGAACTTCTTTCGCACCGTATGTAGCCAACCGTGCTAATCTGAGGTGCATATACACAGTTATGCAATTATATACATATGTTGTATCGTAGACGGAGGTACTCGGAGACGGAGGTTGAGTTAGGGGCTTCCGCCAGGGTTTATTAACACTTATCACTATCCCTGGTTCCCTCTTTACCCCTTCCACTATCCCCGTTCCTCCAGTGACCCCGCTTACGTTACGGGGTCTCCCTTATATACCCTCGGAGGGGTGATGTCGCGTGCACTGCCCAGCGCGCGCGACCCCACGTCCCGTGAGGTCACCGCACCTGACAGCGCACACGACGCCACCACTCTCCACTACTCCTCTACATCACCCCCCCCCGTAAAAAAAAACAGCCGACCCGGCTGCAATCAACCTTAGGGCAGCACGGCCCTTCAAGCAGAACAGTAACAACAAAAAAACAAAACAAATAGAGCCCGAAGGCCTCATCCGCCGGATAGCGCCGAACGGGCGCCAGGGGCTAGGCCCGCTGAACGGCCATCAGGGCCGTCACCGGAGCCGCACCCCCCTCGAGCGGGTATGCGCTGCTGGCCCGCTCCCTCGTGCGGTGTCCGCCACCCGTGCAGGTGGGCCGTCAGCGGGCAACAGGCCCACCGCCGTGGCCTCCGGTGCCTGGGGGGTCTCTGTCGGCCTCACTCGGGAGGGGCCTGGGGGCACACACACAGGTCGGACGTCACCTCCGTCAACGAGACCCGGCCGGTCAGGCACGCCGGATACATCATCAGCCGGCCGCTCCGGAATTGGGGGTGGATCCCCCAGGGTAGATGGAACATAACGTTTGAGCCGGGACGGGTGCACTATCCACTGCCTGCGACCGAATCGAATCCGGACGCATTGCGGCCGGCGGACCTCCACAACCTCCACGGGTCCCTGCCAAGGGCGATGCAATTTGGCCGATGTGCCAACGGGGACCTGGGGACAATGCAGCCACGCTTTTTGACCCGCTACCCACGGGAGGCCAGCTGCCTGGTGTTTTGGCAGCCGCTCATTAGCCGCCTGCCGGCTTGCGGAATTCTCGGCAGCGGCCTGTCGCGCCTCGCGCAGCCGGTCAAGTGCGACCTTCAAAGGGGTCGGCACCGACGACCCCTTCTTGGAGGAGCCAACGTCCATCTGGACGTGCACCGGGGGCTCCGGTTCCCTACCGTACATTAAATAAAAAGGCGAAAATCCCGTGGAGGCATGAGGGGCCAACCGATACGCCGCCAAGACCCCCGGGACGAACAGGTCCCAGTCTGACTGGGACGTGTTCACCTGGTGGCACAGCATGGACGTAAGGGTGCGGTTCAAGCGCTCTACCATCCCATCTGACTGGGGGTGGTAGGGCGAGGTGCGGATTTTCTTGGTGCCAAGGAGGTCACACACCTCCTTGAGCAACCTAGACGAGAAATTCCGCCCCTGGTCAGTCAACAATTGTTCCGGCGCGCCCTTGTCAAACACGTATCCCTGGACGAAGGCCTCGGTGATAGAAGAGGCCAACTGATCGACCAAAGGCCATGCCATGGGCCAACGTGTGAGGTACTCAACGCCCACCAAGAGGTATTTGTGGCCCCGTTGGGATGCAGGGAATGGCCCCAAAATGTCGAGTGCCACGAGCTCATTAACGCGAGAAACCCGGATGGACTGCAGCGGGGCCCGGTCCTGGACAACTGGGGCCTTCCTCCGCGCGCAGTCGTGGCAACCCTTCAAAATCAGTGCTACGTCACCCTCAACACCCGGCCAGTAATAGTCCCGCTTAAGGGTCAATAAGGTCTTGTGGTAGCCAAGGTGCATAAGCTTCTCGTGAATGGCTCGGGTTAATTTACCACGCAGGCTAGTGGGCACAACCACACAATAGCGTTCCAATTGGGCATCCCAACGCATGAGTAGTCCGTCATGCACGGCGATCGCCGGGGCAGCCGACGAAGCTAAGCTCCGGGCGTTATGTCCGACACGGCGCCGTAGCTTCAGCAGAGAGGAATCCTCCATCTGCAAGCCGGACCATACCTCCCGGGGAAGTCCAAGGCCGAAATCTGCGGTCGACGCCGCACCTGGAGGGGTGTCCGCCTCGGCCGACGCGACCAACTGGGCCGCGGCGTCCCCTGGGGCCTTGCAACGGCTAGAGCCCAGGGCGCAAGCACACCCGCCGCCTGCCGGCAATCGGGATAAACCGTCCGCATTTCCATGCTGTGTCCCCTTCCTATGGATTACATCAAAAGGGTAATCCTGGAGCACTTCGAGCCAGCGAGACAGCTGACCCGAGGGCTGACTAATCTTCAGCGAATATTGCAGGGCCGCGTGGTCGGTTCGGACCGTAAACAGCCTACCGTACAAATATGGTCTATACAACTGAACAAAATAAACTATGGCCAAAAGCTCCCTCCGGGTCACACAATATCGCTGTTCCGTCGAGGACAGAACGCGACTGCCATAGGCTACCACCCTCTCAACCCCGTCGACCACCTGGGCCAGGACAGCCCCAATTCCCGTGTCGCTGGCATCGGTATCGAGCAGGAAGGGTTTCGTAAAATCCGGGTACCCCAAGGGCGGCGCATCCGCCAAGGCCGTGCGAAGCGCCGCAAAAGCCGCCTCCTCCTCCGCGCCCCAGTGAAACCTTTGTCCTTTGGCGGAAAGGGCGTGCAGTGGCTTCGCAATTGTCGCAAAATCGCGGACAAACCGGCGATAGTACGATGCGAATCCAACGAAGCTACGCACCTCCGCGACAGATGTGGGAGTCGGCCACGTCCGGACACAAGCCGTTTTATCCGGGTCCGTGGCGACACCTGACGTGCTAACAATGTGTCCCAAATACCTCACCGATGGTTGTAGCAAGTGGCATTTCTGGGGTTTGAATTTCAAGCCAGCAGCACGCACTTTGACGAACACCGCCTCAAGGCGTTGCAAGTGCTCGCCAAACGTACGGCCAAAAACAATAACGTCATCCAAGTAGATTAGACAAGACTCCCACTGCAGCCCCGCCAAGACCATCTCCATGAGACGCTGGAAGGTGGCCGGGGCCGAATGGAGACCCATAGGAAGCCGATTGAACTCGAACAACCCCTGGGGCGTGCGGAACGCTGTTTTGGGTCTAGAGGCCTCATCCAGTGGCAATTGCCAGAAGCCGGAGAGCAAATCTAAAGTCGAAAAGAACCGCGCGCCCGAGAGGGCGTCCAAGGAATCATCCATGCGAGGCAATGGATATGCATCAGCCACCGAGATCTTGTTCAATCTACGAAAATCGACGCAGAACCGGAGACTCCCGTCCCGTTTCTTGACTAGCACAATGGGGGCACCCCAAGGGCTAGTAGATGGGGAGATGATGTCCGCCGCCAACATTTCCTCGACAGCCGAGCGGACATGATCTTTTTCCGCTGGGCTAAAGCGGTGGGAATTAAGTCGAATGGGGGCCGCGTCGCCCGTGTCTATGTGGTGGTCCAAAAGAGTAGTGCGACCCAGATCAAACTTACTTTGGCTGAACACATCGGTGAACCGTTCGATGAGGTCGCGGAGTTGCCGACGTTCCCCGAAGGACAACGAGGCATTCTCGTCGCACAACGTGGCGATCCATGATGCGTCGGGGTCCCCCGTGCGCATCACGCCCGCCACGACCCCTCCATCCGGGGCAGCGCTCTCGGGTGGAGGAGCCGGGGTTGCGTGTGCCAGGACGGCGCCGGCCGGGACTATGACCGGCAAGGGTCCCGAATTGAGGACCTGCAAAAAAAGGTCCTGGCCCCCCGACACGGCTGTCAAGGCGCCCACCAACCCCTTCGTCCTTGAAAAGTAGCTTGACGGGGACAGGAGGATACCCGTCTCCGTGGAGCCCATTTCGAGCGGTTTGCGCAACCTAAGGGGTATCAGGATTTGTGACGCCGGTGGTACGGTCACCGGCACTTTATTCAAGGCCCGTACACCGGCGACCAAGGGAGACAGGACGGTAGGTGATTGTAGGAATTGCAGCCGCCTCCCTGACGGCATTTCCACACAGCCCTGGTCAACGAGAATTCGGATGGGCATCCTAGACAAAAAGTCGGTCCCCAAGAGGCATGGCACTGCCAAGGTCCTGGAGACCAAAATCGGCCCGGCCAACTCAATCTCGTCAACCCGAACCGACGCTACAACGTGGCCCAGGATGCCCAAACTGCCGCCGTTCGCGGCGACACAAGCCCCGCGAACCGGCCTTAATGGACCCACGCTGCGGGGTAGCAGCCCAAAAATGGCCTCAGAAATAATGGTGGCCGACGCCCCCGTATCCACCAGGAGGCGAACGTGCACCCCTTGCACATATCCTGCCACCGCTGAGGAGCCGGCAGCTGCCGCCACCATCCTATGCGCAAGCGCATCCCAGTGGCGGGTCTGTCTGGGCCATTGAGGGGGTGATGACGATGGTGCACCCGACCCTTCGAGGACAACCCCATGACGATGGGCCCTAGCCCCGCTAGATGCATGAGGTGAAGGGAGCGGCCGCGCAGATGATGCGTCGCGACTCGCCTGGGGCCCCGAACCCGATGCCAAGGAGGGTCTGGGAGAAGGTGGAGTCCCTTTTCCAAAGGCCCCCGGGGCATTCCGGCAGCCCCGCTCAATGTGGCCCCGCTGACCACAGCGGAAGCAGGCCACCGTGTCCGCCTCCTGTGGACGGGAAGGTCCCGGCCGCCCCCGCTGCTCCGGACGGCGACCACCCGTCCCCCTTCCTCGACGATCGGGCATCGCCAGGGCCGCGAGGGTGTCCCCCCCGTCCGGCGCCAGGATCCCCGCACACGCCGCCATCTGAGGCCGTTGGCGGAGGGAGAGGTGCGCCTGAATGTTTTCTGCGACCGCCAAGGATGTGATCTGCCGATCATTGTTGATCGACAGAGCAATTCCTAGCTCCCTTGCCAGGTCAAGCAGCTTCCCCAAGGCCATAGAATCAAGTGCCCTGCCGTACAGGTCAGGGTATGCAGCCTGCGCCAGGGCCAGGAGCGAGCAGCGGAAGGCCAGCGGCAGTTCCCCCTCCTCCCGCCGCCGCAATGAAAACTTTAGCTGCGCGGTGGACGGCGGCTCAAAAACGTTGGCCATTTGGATATAGGCCGCCGGGAGTGTAGCCCGATTGGCCGGATGGATGGACTTGAAGGCCTGCAGAGCCCTTTCGTCCAAGCAGGTCGGAAGCGCCGGCAAGGCCTCCTCCATGGACCAGCCGACCGACATGTATGCCGCGTCGAACCGGTCCTGGAAGGCCGACCAGTCGCCCCCTTGCGCGACAAACGGCGCAACGTCGGGTAACCTGCGCTGCCATTGGCCGCGCGGCGCCGCGAGGTGTGGAAGCCAAGCGGCACCTGCGGGCCACCCAGCGGACGCGACGTGTTGCGGCGGTGGCAGCATTGCGGCTCCCGCGGGCCACGCCGAAGACGCGGAAAGGTGCGGTGGTGCTGCGGCCCCCATGGGCCACGCCGTAGGCGCAGCGAATTGTGGCTGAGTTGCGGCCCCCATGGGCCACGCCGTAGGCGCAGCGAATTGTGGCTGAGTTGCGGCCCCCATGGGCCACGCCGTAGGCGCAGCGAATTGTGGCTGAGTTGCGGCCCCCATGGGCCACGCCGTAGGCGCAGCGAATTGTGGCTGAGTTGCGGCCCCCATGGGCCACTCCGTAGGCGCAGCGAATTGTGGCTGAGTTGCGGCCCCCTTGGGCCACGCCGTAGGCGCAGCGAATTGTGGCTGAGTTGCGGCCCCCATGGGCCACGCCGTAGGCGCAGCGAATTGTGGCTGAGTTGCGGCCCCCATGGGCCACGCCGTAGACGCAGCAAAGTGTGAAGGCGCCTGCGCTTTCGCGACCCACCGGTCAGCGGCGGCGTACGAAGACACGGCGTCGTCCCGCGACGCGGCGAGGGACCACGGCGTTGCAGCCTCAACGGGCCACGCCGAAGACGCGGCGGTGTAATTCGGGCCTGCAGCGGCCCCCGCGGCCCACCCCGCCGGCGCAGCGAGGTGCGGGACAGCGGCCGCAGCCGCGGCAACCTCTCGCGATGCGGCGAGGCACCACGGCGTTGCGGCCTCCCCGGGCCACGCCGTAGACGCGGCGGTAAAACACGGAGCCGCGGTGGCCCCCGCGGCCCTCCCCGCCGGCGCAGCGAGGTGCGGGACAGCGGCCGCAGCCGCGGCAACCTCTCGCGACGCGGCGAGGCGCCACGGCGTTGCAGCCTCCATGGGCCACGCCGAAGACGCGGCAGAATAACACGCAGCTGCGGCGTCATCCATGAGAAGGGACGCAGGCACGGCGAGGTGCAGAGCCGCGGCATCGCCGGTGTCCGGCCCCGTGAGCGCAGCGACAGGTTGAGCCGCGGCAGCACCCGCGGCCCATTCCGGCGGCACAGCGATGTACGGGGCAGCAGCAGCCGCCGCTGCCCACCCCGGCGGCCCGGCGAGGACGGCACGCGCGTACTTACCCTGGGCCCCCCCGGCGGGCGCCGCTTGATGTAGAGCCGCGTCGTCGCCGGCGGCTGGTCTCGCAGGAGCGGCGTGCCGAGAAATCCCGGCCGCGTCGGTGGAGAGACGCGGCGTCGCGGTCGCCATGGCAGCCGTAGCAGCGGCCGCATATGGCTCCCGAGCCAACATGGCCGCCGCGGATTGAGTCGCAGCCAACATGGCGGCCATTTCCGGTGGAGCGGTCGCTGGGAAAACTGCGGCGCTTTCAACGTTGGCAGTTGACAGTTGCTCCCGTCCCGCGTGCGGGGCGGTTGGCTGCGTCCGCGCCTCCACCTTGGCCAACCTGGCGGTCAGCTGCCCCACCGCCTGCAGGAGCTGCTGCAGCAGAGCTGCGGGGACGCTCTCCGTCTCTGGCGGCGGCGGTGAGCTGGCACTCCCCGCAGCCGACTCCTCCCGCTCCGGCCCGCTCGTCTCCACGGGAACCGTCACCGGGGTCCCGGGCTCCGGGGTCACTGCTGGAGCCTCCTCTCCGCCTTCGGCGCCCTCCAAGTCATGTGCCGGTGGGTTCCTACGCCGTGCGCCCGCTTTATACATGTTGGCGACGGTGTAAACTTCTGACACCAGTTGTTGTATCGTAGACGGAGGTACTCGGAGACGGAGGTTGAGTTAGGGGCTTCCGCCAGGGTTTATTAACACTTATCACTATCCCTGGTTCCCTCTTTACCCCTTCCACTATCCCCGTTCCTCCAGTGACCCCGCTTACGTTACGGGGTCTCCCTTATATACCCTCGGAGGGGTGATGTCGCGTGCACTGCCCAGCGCGCGCGACCCCACGTCCCGTGAGGTCACCGCACCTGACAGCGCACACGACGCCACCACTCTCCACTACTCCTCTACACATATATAGACATACACCAATGCCCTTAGATTACTATTTTGTGCTTTTCTCTGGTATTTAGTCATGCTACTGCTTGACTACAATTTGGAAAGAAACATGTTGCTGCCAATATTTTAACAAGAACTAAGAAATATGAACATATTGCCCGTTTGGGATACTTGCACTGGCTCCGAGCTGGTGCAAGATTGATTGTAAGGTGCTGCTTCTGACATTTTAAGCTCTACATGAACACGGTTTCCCCCGCCTACCTAAAACAATTGTTGACTCCATGTCCCGAGTCGGCCTCTTACAGCACAGCTTGCAGTTGTGCTCATGATCCAAATGGTTGGAGTACATTTGCCGATTGAGCCCATAAACGGTAGAATAACTACCATGATAATCAAGTGAGGATACCTTTGAAACTAAGACAGAACACTTATGTCGATGATACAGCATTCATACTCTTGTAAAACACATTCCTGGTGAGGGAGCTGGTAGGAACGTTGGGTTGCTCGGTCAATGGCCAAGGTCAACAGCGGCCTGGTGTATTCCGCAAATATGCCCGACAGTGAGGGCAGGCACAAGCCGGCGTGAGTAGGTTAAACGTTGAGTTTTATAAGGACACCACGGGGTGACCAGCCCCTCCCCACCCAGCCCCACCCCTCCCACCCCCCACCCAGCCCCTCACCACCCAGCCCCTCCCCACCCTCCCCACCCAGCCCCTCCCCACCCTCCCCACCCAGCCCCTCCCCTCCCCACCCAGCCCCTCCCTCCCCACCCAGCCCCTCCCCACCCTCCCCACCCAGCCCCTCCCCTCCCCACCCAGCCCCTCCCTCCCCACCCAGCCCCTCCCTGCACGACGGACACAATAATCCCCTGTGGGCTGGTGTAACCAGGAGGTTCCTATCAGTATTATATTGTATTTATTGCGTTTTCTGATTTAAGACATTGTAATTTATTAACTATTTCCACCTCTTAAAGATCCTTTCATGAAAGGCGCAATGCAAAAATAAAGATGGATCCTTATTTTCTTTTTAAATACAGCGCCTTTACTCGAGGTGCTTAACATGGTTAAAAAAAACAGTTACAAAATAAAATGATTTCGATCAGTTTTCTTCATTACAAGGCCCACGGGCCACTCGCGGCCCCTGGTGGCCTCTAGCGCGGCCCTTAATGTACGGCCCCCGACAATACACCAATGTGAAAACACCCCCCGTCGTGCTGTGTCAAACCCCAATGGTTTCAAATGTGTGGCGGCCCTCACACTGATGATGTCTTATCAGCGAAAGTGGCCCCCCGCTGAAAATTAGTGAAGAACACTGATTTAGGTGGCAAAGGCATGCAAGGGTTGAGGAATGAGTGACCGAAATTAGAGGGCATTTAGGGGTCACGAAATGGTTGCTACTGGATATAGACACATAAATATACACGCAGATGTTCACATAAAGACAAAGGCACAAACATACGTTTCTTCCATGACTGTGCACGCAGACGGTCGTCGTGAAGGACGTGGACGTGATGCAAATGAATCCGCCCAAGTTCGACAAGATCGAGGACATGGCCATGCTGACCTTCCTCAACGAGCCGTCCGTGCTGTTCAACCTCAAAGAGCGTTACGCCGCATGGATGATCTACGTGAGTGCCTCGATATTATCATATTGTTCGGACTTTAAGATGCTCTGGAAAGTTGAAGCACCCGAAAAACATAAAATTATAAGTCTGGTCATACACACCACATTATAAGTGGCACCCCTAACTTTTGCTTTAAAATGCAGGGAAAAATTAGGTATAATGATCTGAGAAATATAGTATTTATGAATAAATAAAGGGGAGTCAGTCGAATCATTCCACTGAGGTATGAGCCTCAGTGGGATGATTTACAGATTGATTGATTGATTAGAGGGTCATTAGATCTGTGGGGTAACCGACCCCCAGGAACAGGTTTGCTAATTTGCTGAGCATTTATGTAAGGATTGCTTGAATAGAGGTCTAGGGAAATCCAACAGGACCGACATCTCTCAATTATTGACCTCATCACAGCATACGATGCCATCAAGAGGCCAGGACTATGATTTATTTTTTTCTCTTTCAGGGATACTGATCCTATGCTAATAACCATTAAGAACCTCTATGGTGGGCAGACCCAAGTAAAGCTTCGTGGCTAGGAGTCAGAGACACTTGCAGATCACATTGGGGTGTCGTCTGCCTCCTTCACTATTTAAAAGCTTATTTGACTACATAGTTAGAGCTTTCCATGGCTGAAAAAATTGACTTTTTATTGGCTGTTCCAGAGGAATTTGCATCTGGTACAGATACAAAGATACAAAGGGAGGCTAATTGATGCCTCGGTGCCTTCAAGGGATGGCTCCCTACTTTTCAACCAGGTTATTTACAGGCATTATCTGGTAGTTGCTGCTCACTTTAAGAACTAGTTTCAGACTGCTGTTGAACGTAGGATTTAAAATCAGCCCCACTAAAGCAAAGCACTTGCCTGATTATTTTATGGCATCAACACTCCACATCAACTCTCCATGAGCAATCAGACAGTTGTGGAGACAGTGGAGGAGTGTGTTCATGACCAGTTCCTAGTCAGAAGCAAAGACTATGCTCATTACCAGTTCCGGGTTGGAAGCGTTGATTTAGTCGAGCAGCATTATATTCCTTCGATACTTCACATGGCATCAAAGTGTACCGAGTCTGGCACAAGTGCTATGGTGACATCATCACCATATTGTGGCGAATGGTGGCTGTTGTTGTCTATATGCGTATCTGTATGGTCCATGCAGACGTACTCGGGGCTGTTCTGTGTCACGGTGAACCCCTACAAGTGGCTGCCCGTGTACAGCTCGCAGTGCGTAAACGCGTACCGGGGCAAGAAACGGCAGGAGGCCCCTCCACACATCTTCTCCATCTCTGACAATGCATACCAGTACATGCTTTCGGGTACGTGTACACACACACACATATACACCAGCACATGCTCATAGGTATGTGTACACACAACACATTCAAAGACACCTGCAAATGTTCACATTGTTGCGCAGTACGTCTGTCTGCCAGTCCCTATACGTGCGCCATCCACCTATCTGTGAATATTTACCGAAAAACCTGTACACTCTCCTGTCGATTTATCTGTCTTACCGTCTCTCTGGTTTACATTCCACAGACAGAGAAAATCAGTCAGTTCTGATCACGTGAGTTTCAAAATAGCGCAAAGGGCACACTTTGAGTTGTGGGAAATTATTGGGTGTAATGTCTGTCTCTCTGGCCATTGGAAACCATATTGAGGTTCCAGAAACTCTGCATGCCTGGAAAGGTGATATTGAATAATCTTTGCCAGAACCTTTCTGGGCACACTGACAAGATAAATGCCCGAGTAGTTGATACAATACGTACGGTCCTCCTTTTTAAAAAGGGGGACCATCAAGGCATCTGTTAAATCCTGTGGAATCGGCCCTGTGTTCCAGACAGTTGTAATGCTATCATGTAGAACAGCCTGCACAAAATTACCACCCTCAGCAAGCAATGATAAGATTCTCGCTTGCAATCTTATCAGCTAACCGAGAGCAGGCTATTTTGGGTTTGAATGGGGTCCTAAGTAAATGTCCACCATCGCAGTGGAAGAATGGCAGACGCATCTTACAAGTGACAAGCCGATGGCCAGTTGGCAAGGGCATGGGCCCGCATTCACTGTTCACCCGAGTCCTCAATATGGGTGGATGAATCAATGAGAGAAAGGCCAAAGAACAGTTCCCATGGCAGTAGTGACAAAAGTGATAAGTGTCTTGACTGCTGGTGACAAGTGACAGGAGCGAATCAGTGAGTGCTTCATCATTAATCAACCTGTTTACATTAAATTCGATCTAGTATAGTGCGGTAGAAATTGTGTTCCATCCCAGATATGATCTTTCGCCAAATATGTACTTGGTATCCAAGTAATAATTACAGGCAGTTTAAGAAGTCTTTGACATGCAAAAAAAGCAAAGCTTCTTCAATGTCTGGGTCTGTCTGCCTGCCTGTGTTTACCTCACCCCTGCCTGCCTCTCCACCACCAGAACTCCCTCCAACCCTCTCCTAAATAACCTCTTCAACTTTGCCTTCCTACCCCCTTAATTACTTATTTTATTCCTCCCTTGCTCGGTGTTTCCCATTCCTTTCCACCGTTACATAATTCTTCACTCTGAGCCATTTGTTACATTACGGGTGGATTACAAATGTGAGTTCTTGTTTTATATCTGCTTGTATCCGTCGCTGTGATGGGACAGTGGCGAGTCTGGAGCGGGGAAAACTGTGAACACGAAACGTGTCATCCAGTACTTCGCGTCCATCGCTGCAGCGGGAACCAAGCGCGACGCCAGCAAGGTGAGGAGAGGGATGGACACGGGAAGACATGAGGGGGAGACATAGGGTCACAGACTACACAGGGAGGCACGGGGAAATATGGAAAACATAGGGAGACATGAGGGAAAATGTATACAGGTACCTAAGAAATAATAATTATGGGTAGAAGCAAATAAAAGCAGAATTCCATTGTCTCCACATACACACACAATATTTGAGTCCGTCATCAGGATCTACAAACCAATATTATCCCACAGCATGTTTAACCAGGAAACCCCTCGACTGATTTTGACCTCCTGGGTATCATCAGCAATGAGGCTTGTTAAAAAATGTTTCTGGATTAGCAGATGCTATTGGCAAGGTTACAAAAAGCATAAGTTTTTGTGCAAATAATAATGGCTTTTTTTATCCAGTAAAGCGTCACTAGCCTCAACTCACGTTCAGAAGGGTGCTGCTCAAATGGGGTTTTTGGCCAATTCCATTTATGAGAAACCCACTACACATACCAACACTGCTGTGATCTTCACAGGGAACCTTGGAGGATCAAATCGTCTCAGCCAACCCTGCACTGGAGGCCTTCGGCAATGCGAAGACACTCAGGAACGACAACTCCTCCCGATTCGTGAGTCTCTCTGATAGGGTTGACACCTGTCGTGACCACTTGATTCTGCCCTTGTTAATGACCTACAACCTGACGCACGACCCCTTCCCCTCTCAGTGTGCCACCATGTAATGCATTCGTATTTGTGTGTGCGTGCTATTTATCCGTCCGTCCTCCTGGCAGTAGCGTAACAAGCGTGGGGGCAGGGGGTGCCTTTCCACCCCCACCCACCCACCCGCCCGCCCTATAGCCAAAGCTACGAGTTGAAGTCCCCTTGACAACCACCATAAGATATTTTCAACAGTGTCAAATATGAAACTTATTTAAAACACGGTTTAAATAAAAAATATTTTACGAAAATGCCTTTAGTTACGCTCCACATTTTATTTTTATTTAATTATAGCAGGCACATAATATTGCATGGCCACTACGGAGCTGTAGTGGCTGCATTTTCCGAAGGCACAGCACCACGACAGCGTTAAATGTTCGAGACGGTGAGCATAAGGATGTGATTAGACAAGAGGAGCCAATTTCGATTTAAAGCTTTCGTGACTGCAGGGATTCATCTTCTTGGTTTTTTCGGTAAAGTCACGTAGAAGGGAAGTAATAAAATAATAAAAATAAAACATAATAAAATAATTCTCACGACGTTTCGGCTACAACGCAAGCAGCGGTCTTCAGGTGAAGAAGACGGAAGAAGAGGAGCCAAGATATATAGCCTAGGTACAACCAAGGGGGACAAATCACTGCTTGGTGCTCCTTCTCATTTCCTCTGCAGCTCTCCCCTTCTGCTCATCCTCCACCGACTCTATGTGCTAGCGTGAAGGCGTGGTGCTAACCACACCACCCCCCTCATGCGCTGTTCTGAACTTCATAGGTGCTCACTGTTAAAGGTTACACCGGGAATCTTTATCTTGTTGTGTGCGTGTCCAGGGAAAATTTATCCGCATTCACTTCGGAACGACCGGAAAACTGGCGTCCGCCGACATTGAAACCTGTGAGTCCATGCGGTTCCATCAAGGATCTTTCTCACACAGTCGGAACTATTGATGCCCAACCCCCTCCCTAGTTTCTGCTTGACTGTACACCTGTCTTTACGTTTGTCTTGTCTGCATTAACTGTCTTTCTTTCCATCAGATCTGTTGGAGAAATCTCGTGTTACGTTCCAGCTGAAGGCTGAACGCAACTACCACATCTTCTACCAGATCCTGAGCCAGAGGAAACCTGAGCTCCTGGGTACAAACAACAATACGACCACTACCACTATCATTCTCACCACCACCATTGTCATCATTATTCACTCTTTTTGCTCTATCCTCTCTCTCCTCACTTCCCTCTCCCCTCTCTCCTCTCCCTCCCCTCTCTCCTGTCCCCAGAAATGCTGCTGGTGACCACCAACCCGTACGATTACTCCTTCATCAGCCAGGGCCAGGTCACCGTGGCTGGAATGGATGACGGAGACGAGCTCATGGCTACGGATGTGAGCTTCCTCCTCTTCCTCATTTTATCCACCCGAGAGGATGATTAGTTGCTTTATCTGCCTGTCCTCCTTCTCATTCTCATCTCCTCTGCAGCTCCCCACTCCCATTATGCTTCTCCTCCTCATGGTGGGTGATGATGTTGATGGGTGGTGGTGGTGGTGATGATGATTGCACCTCCCCCCAGAGTGCCTTCGACATCCTGGGCTTCACAACGGAGGAGAAAGCGAGCGTGTACAAGCTGACGGGAGCCATCATGCACTTCGGCAACATGCACTTCAAGCAGAAGCAGCGAGAGGAGCAAGCGGAGGCAGACGGCACTGAGGGTATGGAAGCGCGCGGGGACACGCATATCTACACTGGGAACGCCTGGGAATTCCCCAGGAAGAGCTAGTCTGTCGCCAGGGAAAGGGAGGTCTGGACCGTCCTACTCAACGTGCTGACTCTGCAACCCTCACCAGGACAAGCGGACTGAGAAACGAATGAACGAACCATATAGGGGCACACTGGGACTCACTGGAACGGGGGAGACAACAGGGTCATGTGGGCACTTGGGGACACAAAAATTAACAAGAAATATATATTTTTAATGTTACGAAAGCTATCATGAGGAGACTTTACAAATGACCAGTATGGAACACCCAAGTCCTCAAAGTCATGAGCTGACATTGCACGAGTAAGGTCCTTTGAGCACTGGCGAATGCTTTCAGTAGGATTCTTGTTTCTAAGTTTTTGGTAACCGATCAATTTGGCTGGTTTCCTTAATAGCAAAAATACTTTCTAAGAAAAGTGTTTATATTTAAATGAGTGATCATGACCCTCCCATTACAAATATGATGCGGATAGCACAATTGAGATTTTAAAAAGCCAAAGAGGAACACGTGGGCCCTGTGTCTAAAGCAAGGGGGAGTGGTGGCGCAGACAGATGAACAGGGCTAATGTCCCAACGTTGGAACGTGTGAATAAAAAGACGTGGGGGGAATCTTTGCCTTTGACAGACGCCGACAAAGCGTCGTACCTCATGGGCCTCAACTCGGCCGACCTCATCAAGGGCCTATGCCACCCCAGGGTCAAGGTCGGCAACGAGTACGTGACCAAGGGTCAGGACGTGCAGCAGGTGGGCGGCTCCTGATGACGACTTCCAATGAAAGCGAAACCTCCATTCTCTGAATACATTGATTGTGACATCATCATTGTCACCACCATGAATGATCATAAAGATCATATCCACGGTTCACCCTCAGCATTTCGTCATGATGATCAAAATGTATGTATCTATATCACCTGATTCATATAATTGTACTCATTATCCCCTACTGTTATGTGCATCATATTTGTATTGTTTAATTATGGCTGTTGTATTTTTACCTAGGTCTCCTCTGGTTCTCACCTCGTATAAATAAGGACAATAAATCAGGGGTATAATGGGGAGCCCGGGACCCTCTATGCACTTGTCAATTACGGCTCTTCCTGGCAACTTCCCCACCCTCCCTAACCCCATGGACTTCCGTGCCCCATCAATATATTTACCCACCGGCCGCTACTTCGTCTGCCAGGTGTCCTATTCCATCGGTGCACTGGCAAAGTCCGTGTACGAGAAGATGTTCAACTGGATGGTCGTGCGCATCAACCAGTCGCTGGAGACCAAGGCACCGCGACAGCACTTCATCGGTGTGCTGGACATCGCTGGCTTCGAGATCTTCGACGTGAGGACACCACCACCACCACCTGCCAGGCACCATTTTCATCACCACCATTACTGTCACCAACACTGCCACAACCACCAACAGCACTATTTCACCCACCATCACCATCCACCACAGACTCCACCATTATCATCGCCGTCGCAAATGTCACCACCATCACCTGTCCGTCCATCAGTCTCTCAGCTCACCATCTGTGTCCATCCATACGTGTGTCCCTCTCCCGGTGTGCGCAGTTCAACTCATTTGAACAGATCTGCATAAACTTCACCAACGAGAAGTTGCAGCAATTCTTCAACCACCACATGTTCGTGCTGGAGCAGGAGGAGTACAAGAAAGAGGGCATCGAGTGGGTCTTCATTGATTTCGGCATGGACCTGCAGGCCTGCATCGAGCTCATCGAGAAGGTGGCTGCCGCTGATGATTGATGAAGATTATGGTGATAGTGGTGATGACACTGCTACTGATGATAATGCAACTACTGATGATGCTTCTGATGCCAATGATGATGATCATTGAGATCATCATCTACAATGATGATAGTAATGATTATCCATCACCACCATGAATAAAATGGTGATGACCATGGCAGCATTGATCGTGATGATAAAGGATGTTGGTGACAATGTAGATGATGATGATCATGGTAAATATTGTGGTGGTGGTGGTGGTGCGGTTGTGAAAGTGGACAATGCTGCTGCTGATAATTATCATGCTGTTCCTCATACTGCAATTGTTACCGCTTCTGCTTCTTTGACCGATGACAATTGGCGACAATATCGATGACCACACCGTTTGCCTGCGTGCTCCGTAGCCCATGGGCATCATGTCCATCCTGGAAGAGGAGTGCATGTTCCCCAAGGCGTCCGACCAGAGCTTCAAGGCAAAGCTGTACGACAACCACCTGGGCAAGTCCGCCAACTTCCAGAAGCCGCGCATCGTCAAGGGTAGGCCGGAGGCGCACTTTGCGTTGATGCACTACGCCGGCGTGGTGGACTACAACATCTCGGGTTGGCTCATCAAGAACAAGGACCCGCTCAACGAGACCGTGGTGGGGCTCTATCAGAAGTCCTCACTCAAGCTGCTCTCCGTGCTGTTTATGAACTACGCCGCTGCAGATGCTGGTGAGCGAATTATATCTCGCTTTATTTTACAATGGCTCTGACGTCCACTCAATCGCACTCATTTGATCGCTCACCAACTTGCTCGCTCACTCATTCACCCACACACTCACTCGAACATTCAGCCACATACTCAATAATTTGAGGAGCCACCATTTGCCACTAAGGGACTGTGACATCAACATAGCGTGTGTGTCCAGATCTTGGTGATAAGCAGGATGGACTGTAGGCAGGCGAGGATGAATGTTTTCAAGCTGGCACGAGTGTATATATATTTCGGGTTCAACGTTTCACAAGCAAAAGGAGAAGACAAAGGTAGCTGGAAAGTCTCAAGAGCTTCATGTGCAGAACCAGGGCAGGCATCTTCCACACAGCATTAGGCAGTCCATGAAAATATAATGATGCTCAATTGACTTCAAGTGAGACTTCCGCTAGATGTAGTTAAGAGTAGGTTGCGATGAGGGATACGTGCGAGGGATGGATTAGTGTAGTGTAAACTGTTTAGAAGTTGGTAACAGAACATAACACAAAATATAATAATAGGGATTTTCCCCTTTTTTCTGGCAACAAAACTGAAACCTTTTTACAATGATTCACGTCTGCATTGACCACAATACTTGCAGCCAAAATGAAAACAAAAAACATACCATGATAATATATGCTTTGTCTTTGAAACTGATTGGTCCACACCAAGGGACGGCCGTCCCTGATTGGTTAATGCAGACATGAATCCTTGTAAAAAGGTTTCAGTTTTGTTGCCAGAAAAAAGGGGAAAACCCCTATTATTATATTTTGGGACTGGCAAAGGAGGTCTAATGATGAGATAACACAAAATAATTGCAGATATAATTAGAAAGAGGGGATTGTCAAGGGTGGGACACGTGGACAAGATGGACGAGGGAGTTAGTGAGATGGGTAGAAACTGGCAGCCAAAAACCAAGCAGAAGGCTTCAAGGCATATGGTAGTCATGTGTCGACGTTACAACTCCAACTACAGGAATTGTGGGAAGGGTGATATGACATCGAGATGACTTCCTTGTCCTTAACCTGAAGAAACTGTGTGCAACCCCCTTCTCCCATGCCCCCCTCCTCCACTGTAGATGCCGCCAAGAAGGGGGGCGCCAAGAAGAAGGGCTCTTCCTTCCAGACGGTGTCAGCTCTGCACAGGGTGAGCAAATCACGGAGATGCGACTGCGTATGTTGTTTTTCGATTGTGCTGTAAGTTCTTCAGTGTTCATTTTGTGCCGCATATTGTTCTCTATGGCGATCAACGGTTTACTCCACATACTGCAAGTTTCTTCAATTCAGTTTCTGAGTTTTACTGTGTTGTTCGGCATGGCATCCGACGTTTCACTTCGTGTGCTGGGAGCTTCTTCGTCGTGCTAAACAAACATGTGGTACAACCCAAAACACGTTTAAGAGCTACATAACTTAATTATATTATAATTGTGTAAAAATAACTCTGGTATTAGATCAACAACAGGGTGAGGTGATGATAGTGACTGGCACACTGCCCTATGAACCCGGCAACCATTCCTCTTCCAATTCTCACTCTCACCCTCGCAGGAGAACCTGAACAAGCTGATGACCAACTTGAGGTCCACGCATCCTCACTTTGTGCGCTGCATCATCCCCAACGAGGAGAAGAAACCAGGTGAGCACACACCTGTACAGAGATTACCGGTGTAGCCTACGTAGACTTGCTGGGGCAAGTGCTATTCGCGAGCACCTATGATACACACACTGCTTCCTGCGCCCTCCCCCCCCCCAATCGCTGTGCCCCCCCCCCCCCCCCCCCCAGGTGCGATGGACAACGCCCTGGTGATGCACCAGCTGCGTTGTAACGGCGTGCTGGAGGGAATCCGTATCTGCAGGAAGGGATTCCCCAACAGGATCCTCTACGGTGACTTCAAGCAACGGCAAGTCACCATTATCACAAGATGCAGCGTCATCATCGTCCCCATCACATGCAGTATCGTCATCGGCAGATGTAGTCTCAGCAACATCAGCATTCTTATTATCAGATGATTTATAAATGTCATCATCATCGTTGTGGTCACTATGAACATCATTGGCAGCCGAATCATTCACTGCGATGAGGATGTCCCTGACCCAACCACCCCGCACTCCATACCCCACCCCCTCCACCACCGCACAGGTACCGTATCCTGAATCCGAATGCCGTGCCCGAGGGACAGTTCATGGACAGTCGAAAATCGGCTGAGAAGCTCCTGTCCACCCTCGACATCGACCACACGCAGTACAAGTTCGGACACACCAAGGTGCGAGAGGGCGCCTCCTCAAATGATGATTATCATCCTTTATTTGAAGCTTTCGTAACTGCAGGAATCTATACTCTTTGGTTCTTTCAGTAAAGTCACGTAGGTAGAAGAAAAATAATACAAATAATAAATATTTGTATTTATTATTTTAATAATAAATATTTTTAGTTATTACTTTTCTATCTACGTGACTTTACCGAAAGAACCAAAGGCTATTATGATTATCATCATTATCAGGATGATGTTTATGATGATCTATCGACACGTGCCTGAGTGAGCAAGTCACTCATTGCATACAAAATAAGAAGAGATTTTGGTGGGGTTTCATCTTAATATGCACCACATCAAATGACAAACCAAGGAAAACTTTCACTTAAATTTGCCCAGAGGGGCCACAATACCTCTTTTCTACTTTACAACCAAGCCACACTGTAGCCATGCCGAGACATCCTGGCACGGCTCAGGTGTCAAGTTGTTTTTCCACCAGAGATCCTGGGCCATGACACTAATGTCACGCGCAAGAAACGTATAGCGTAAGCATCACACGTTCATTGATGTGCCGGTGTAAAAGTGGTACAAGATTCTACCGCATGACTGCTGTACAATCCTGCAGATGAAAAGAACAAATAGCTATGTATGACATCGGAACTCGAATGCCTCTCCTAGCTAACTCCTGGATGGGACGCCATGTTCCCAGGCTGCCACGGCAAAGACCTCTGGGTGGTGACAAGGTCAAGTGACAACACGCTTGCCGCTTGTTGCAGGGGTTCATACTTCGAGCCCAGCGACCGTCCTGGTTAATGCGTTGACCATAATATATGGGCTGTCTGCTGCACAATGAACATTAAAGATCCTGTAATATTATGAAAAATAATAGCCCATGTGTGTTGGCATCACAGTCCAAATTCAATACATTTCTTGCAAAGGACAGCTATTCCTAGATTTTCGAATGTTCATTTTAAGAAATTTCGCATTTACGCAATTGGAAAATTATGGACACTTTTCCATGAATGAAATCGAATTTCAGCGCTCGGGAAATCTCACTTGGTACACACCCTGAGATCAAACAAGAACCACCCGGGAGGCTGTCATCCATCCGCGACAGTGTCCCTACAGTATAGCAGTAATATCCCCACATCACTTTTCCAGTCATTCCAACATGCAGATGTTTTGGTGAGTTCCCTGAAAAGGTTAATTATTTTTGTTTTAAAATCATTATTATTCAATCGTTTAAATATTTATGTTCTTAGGTGTATATTTTGCTTAGTTAGGAGTAGAGTTGGAATGACTGTCCAAGAGACATCCCAAATTTTTCATATAAAATTAATGGGGAAAGCGATTCCAAGATATCGTTTAACGCGTGTTTTTGAAGAACGCATACCTTTCGTGAATCGAGGGATATCCGTACTTCGATGGGAAGAATTGCCCCCTACTTGAAGACGACTGTCCGCTTGCAGGCTGGTGCTGCATACACATTGTGCCACACATGGACAGCTGCCACTGGGGAGTTCCCTGCTGAAGGGGACCTCAAAATATATCACATGAGAGGTGTGGTATAAAAATCATTGATGACCCCCCCTGTCCCCTTTAATCCCGTGCAGGTGTTCTTCAAGGCCGGTCTTCTGGGCACACTGGAAGAGTTGCGAGATGACCGCCTCTCAAAGATCATCACCCTCATGCAGTCACAATGCAGGGGCTTTCTGTCACGCAAGGAGTTTGCTAAGATCATCGAACGCAGGTGAGGGGTATGGGGAGGCAAAAACAAGTGGGGAGCGGTACGGTAGCGTTTAACACGCTGTGCTAAGAACCCAATGACCCAAGTTCGATTCCCGCTCACGGCCAACACCAGTGACAATTTGAACCGGTTTTGAGCCTCCCCTAGGTTGACTCAACCTCAAATGAGTACCTGGTGTGGTGTGCAAACATCGCCACTAAGGTGAAAGTGTTGGCCATCCACTAATATGCTGTGCCAGCCTTCATAATCTGCTAAGGCTATACAGGAGATATTTGTACGTGAAGGGGAAGGCGGGATCATACAAGGCCACTAGAGGGTGGGTGATGATGTATTATGATGGAGGATGATTAACGTGATGATAAAGGTGATGGTAGATGACTGATAAAGGTGATGACGGTGATGGTGGTGGATGATTGATGTGTGATGACGACGATGGTGAGTCACCTTCTTGTATCCGTCGCCACAGGGACGCGCTGCTCGTCATCCAGTACAACATCCGCGCATTCATGGGTGTCAAGAACTGGCCGTGGATGAAGCTCTTCTTCAAGATCAAGCCGCTGCTCAAGAGCGCCGAGACCGAGAAGGAGATGCAGAACATGAAGGAGGACTTCCTGAAGCTGAAGGAGGCCTACGCCAAGTCGGAGGCACGCCGCAAGGAGCTGGAGGAGAAGTCGGTGTCACTCCTGCAGGAGAAGAACGACCTCGCCATGCAAGTGCAGTCGGTACGTGAGACCGGCCGGCCTGACCAGAACAATGACGATTGACAATAACCACGATGACGATGTACATTGAATGCTCGCTGTTGAACTCAAAATCATTCCTTCTTCCATCTCTTCACCCACCCCCCACTGTCCCTGTGCCCACACCCCTCCCACCACACACACACAGGAGCAAGATAACATCGCGGACGCCGAGGAGCGCTGCGAGCAGCTCATCAAGAGCAAGATCTCTCAGGAGGGGAAGATCAAGGAGCTGACGGAGCGACTGGAGGAGGAAGAGGAGATGAACGCCGAGATGACGGCCAAGAAGCGCAAGCTGGAGGACGAGTGCAGCGAGCTCAAGAAGGACATTGACGACCTGGAGCTCACGCTCGCCAAGGTGGAGAAGGAGAAGCACGCCACGGAGAACAAGGTGAGTGGTGGACCATGTGTTTGACATTGTACCAACGTATACCGTAAATTTTACATTTGAAAATGTTTGAATATGTGTCACTGCGTGTTTCCTATGTATGTCACTTGACACCCTGGACACTCTTAAAAATGAGATGTTCCAAGTGGATTATTTTGTTTAATGACGTGACATTGATTGCACAATCAGGATAAAGCTGGGGGAAAATCCAAATACATTTCGAAATAAATTAATCAGGTCTTCAAGTGTATACAGTTAATGGTCTCAAATATCCATCATGTTAAATTTGCTCTGTGAGAGTCCCAACTTGCTACTTCATCTCGTAATATAAATTGACACACAATCCAAAATTGAGGACAAAAAAAGTACATTTTGGTTTTACTGTCATCTAGGAGTGTGGGAAAGCACAGCAGCCGGCCCTAGTGGTGGATAAATGTCACTTGAAGGGACCTTAGTTGTTCGTTGATATTCACTTCCACGGACCATTCTCTACTACACGGGCAGATGGACTGCTCTAGGAGACTTCCGGATGGATTGTCTGCCTCGTAACATGAATTCGAAAGCACAACCGGGATAAAGTTTAGAAAGAAAAACACATTGTAAAAAAATATCACGCAAGATATGCGAGTAAACGATTAATTACGATAGGACCTTTTTTGCCAGTGTTAAGATGATAAAAAAAGAAACATGTGGAGGCCAATCAGTTTCAAGGACAATACACACATTATATTATCAAAGCATATTTGTTTGCATATTACCACAAGTATGTGTGGGTACTGCAGACTTGATGCTTTGAAATAGGTGTCTATTTGGTGTTTGAACATCCTAATACCTCCTGTATTATTGCTAGAAAAGATTAAGACTTTTCTTCTTTTCATGATCCATTACAAATGGGTAAAATAATATAAAAGCAGAACTCCATTCTGTCTCTACATATAAACAAACCACGTTTTGAAAATCAGCCTATTGGATTTCCAAACTAAGATTATTCAGAAGCATTTATTTAAGAAAGCAAACTCTGAACAGATGTTGTCAGTCTTGTTAAAGCAATGCTGCTGGGTTACCAGATGTTATTGGCAACAGCAATCCATCGAAACTCTGGGGCCCTGTCAAACACACCTGCCTCTACTAATGTCTCCACCCCCACCACGCGACCATGCCCGCACTCCCACCCACTCTTCCACCCACAGGTGAAGAACCTGACGGAAGAGATGGCCGCTCTGGATGACATCATCGCGAAGCTGACCAAGGAGAAGAAGGCCCTCCAGGAGGCTCACCAGCAAACGCTGGACGACCTGCAGGCTGAGGAGGACAAGGTCAACTCGCTCACCAAGAGCAAGGCCAAGCTGGAGCAGCAAGTGGACGACGTGAGTGGTCCACCAGTGCACTTCACTAGGGGCCTCATGGTTCCACCAATCATGGTCTCTCTTTTACGTGCCAAAGCGTTCTTCAACTCAGTCGAAGTTTGAGTACTGTTGTCATATCTCAGGTGAAGCACCCAAGTCCTACTTTACTGTACTTGATATAATGCAACGTAAAGTACACAGTAGGTAGTCTCTGATGTTAGTCTTGATCTGTACCAGATGACTTTACCGAAATAACCAAGAAGATGAATCCCTGCAGTCACGAAAGCTTTAAATCGAAATCTGTACCAGTTGCTTTGCCACTGTTTAGCCCTGATACGGCAACCATGGCACTACGGCCCCCCACTTACTTCCCACACCTCCGATTAGCACTGCTAGCTACGTACGGTGCGAAATAAGTTCAACGTACATACATACATTGCCGATGCCAGGATTCCTTGTTTAATCGGGTGACATCCGATGCAGTTTCATTATATTATCGATCAATATTTTATTCACGTCCAACTCGGCCATGACCATTCCTCTCCTAGTGTCAAACCAGTTATCACTGGTTACGACCATTTCCCTGTTCTACACTCATATCAACATAGTATTAACAATAAACTTTGCCTTTAATTCCCTTTTCACCACAATGGGCCTCGTCTGTAGATATAACTTACACACTTTGCCTGTTTTTCCCTCACAATAGCTACAGCTGGTGGTCTGCAAGATAGTGCACAGACACTAGATGCATCATACAAACCTGTGCACGTGCACGACCAAGGTTCCATCAGACCGCAGGGCCCACGTGTCCACTCGCACCTATAACGAGCCCACCGAGAACCCATAGAGTCCCTGTGGTCGATGTTATTTTATATAAGCACGCGTGTGTCTGCACGTACGTTCCCCAGCTGGAGGGCTCACTGGAGCAGGAGAAGAAGGTGCGCATGGATCTGGAGCGCGCCAAGAGGAAGCTGGAGGGAGACCTCAAGCTGACCCAGGAGACCATCATGGACCTGGAGAACGACAAGCAGCAGCTGGAGGAGAAGTCCAAGAAGTAGGGTGCTCATGCGGCCCAAAGAATATCGTCACTATCATCATAATCGTTGTCATCTTTATCATCATCATGGTGTTTATCATCGTTATCATCATGATCCATGATCTAGGATTGATTGAAGCATGGCTGAGGGACTGTGACTTTATGACCTTTGTGTGTGTGTATGTGTGCATAAGTGCACGTACGTCTGTATGTGCAATGTGTGTGCATCCGTGCACGGGTGTGCATGTGTACGCTTGTGCTCGTTTGTATGTGGGTACTCACATACATGTATGCGCATTAACATATATACGTGCGTGTACACGTGCGTGTGTGCAGGAGGGAGTTTGAGATGAGCACCCTGAACAGCCGAATTGAGGATGAACAGGCACTGGCTGCTCAGCTTCAGAAAAAGATCAAGGAACTGCAGGTGATGCACACTGATTGATGATTATGATAATAATGCCTTTCACCCAATAAAGCCTAAATGAGTCTCAAGATTACATTTCAGGAGGGTCCTGTAACATTGGCATGTTTCGCCAGTTACATTTATGAGCATTCGGGTTAGTGTGGAAGGAATCGGAAAACATGGAGAAAACACACCACACATGAGAGGAAAAAACTCAAAACCTCTACAGAGATGAGTTAAAGATAATCAAGTTGATGAAAGTGTTACTGGTTATGGTGGCAGTGCTTCTGCTGCTGACAATGATAATGATGTTACCGCTATTTCTGCTGCTGATGACAATGATTATGATCATAAAGATTACGCTGACGATGATGATCATGGCTATGGCAACTATTACCCTGCTGCTGATGATTATGATGATCAGATCCACATCCATGCAGCTGATGAAGATGCTGATGATGATCTCGCCCCTCCCCAGGCGCGCATTGAGGAGCTGGAGGAGGAGCTCGAGGCTGAGCGAGCGGCGCGCGCCAAGGTGGAGAAGCAGCGAGCGGACGTGGCGCGCGAGCTGGAGGAGATCAGCGAGAGGCTGGAGGAGGCGGGAGGAGCCACGGCGGCGCAGGTGACCCCCCCACCCCCCCACCACACGCAGAGAAAGACAAAGGTCACCCATGTAGTCCACAGACTGTTGGGACAAGTGCTGCTTGTAAGCACTCATGAAGGTAAGCACGTCACATGAGCGACAGTGTGGCCAACACCACGCTCAGCCTCCTCTGTCTCCCAAGTGGGTTTGCACACCGCATCAGGTGCTCAGTAAAGGATAAATTAACGTAGAGGTCCAGAACTAACTCAAATAATTGTCGCTGGTGTTAGCCAGGAGTCGAACTCGGGTCTTCGAGTTTGTAGCATAGTGCGCTAACCAGTGCTACCACTTCCCAGACACACATTTCTTTACAATGCTCAACTTTGTAATTCCCTTGCAGTATGTTTTCCCAAGTTGTTATATCTTTGCTCAATTCAAGGAAATTATTAATTCGTATATATTATGCCTAGTGCTGTTCTTGCTTGCCATTAACCATGATTTATTCATGTGTTTAAACCTTCAATGGTGCTGTTTGTTCCTGTCCACTTGACGTTTAAGGCCTGCGCTCAGCACTCTATACGCATCTGTTAAATGAAATTCGGTAAAACCACATGCTTGGATGTGCTCTGCCAGGGCGCTCTCTTGTGTTTGAAACACATTTTGACAGACTCAGAATCTTTATTTAGACTGCAGGAATCCGACGAGCTATGAAGCACTTTTTCACAGATGTCCAATATGGGCTGGTCATTCAATTCTACCCCCCAACGCAGATCGAGTTCAACAAGAAGCGTGAGGCCGAGTTCCAGAAGCTGCGTCGCGACCTGGAGGAGTCGACGCTGCAGCACGAGGCCACGGCGTCGGCGCTGCGCAAGAAGCACGCGGACAGCGTCGCCGAACTGGGCGAGCAGCTGGACAACCTCCAGCGCGTCAAGCAGAAGCTGGAGAAGGAGAAGAGCGAGTTCAAGATGGAACTGGACGACGTCCTCTCCAACATGGAGTCCGTCGTCAAGACCAAGGTGAGCGCGTGACGGGAGACGTCGGATGCGGCCCGGGTCCATAGGCGTTTACACTTGTCCTGCTTGTCGATAACTGCCCCCTGAAGATGGTCTTTTCGCCAAAAACAGTGCTTCAGTCAAATGCTTGTGTCCTTGAGTCATTTGAGTCCCTCAGTAAATCCTGGACCAGTCTCTGGATCCAGGTCCGTTTTCTCACTGTATCCTGGACCTGGCTCCCATTGAGTCCAGCACCTGTATTTCATTTAGTCAAAGACTCATATCTCTAAGTCTACTAGTAGTCCCGAAATCATCCCTCATTGTTGCATGCCCACATGTGGTGCTTGTGATTTTGAGATATATCCAGCTGATAATTGTTTTTTTACCCTTCTATCTGGCAACAAAACTGACACCTTTTTTACAAGGAGTCATGTTTACATAGACCACAATACCTGCAGTCATAATGCAAACAGAAAACATAACTCTGATAATGAGGTTCCAATGGTATATACCCAGCTGTCGCTACTGTTGTTCATTAATGATGTCGATGATGAAGTTGACATCGTTGATATTGTAATTTTTGTTGCCAACCTAATTGTTTCTCCCCTTCCACGTCGCGGGCGCCAGTCGAACCTGGAGAAGATGTGCCGCAGCTATGAGGATCAGCTCAACGAGCTCAAGGTGTCGTTTGAGGAGAACCAGCGAGCACTCAACGACTTCACGGCGCAGAAAGCCAAACTGCAAACAGAGAACGGTGCTCCTTCCATCACACACGCACACCACAATACTTATCATCATCAGCGTCATCGACCGTGGTCAATACACTGCTGGATGATGGCCTCCCCAAGCAGCCACCAACGCTCATGATCCTGCCATCTAATAACCCATCTAGCACCCGCTCACATACCACGACCGTGTGTTGTGAGTAACAATGGTCATCGCATCGCTACATTGCTATAGAAGCAATAAACACATTCCTGCGGAGGGAGCTGGTAGGAACGTTGGGTTGCTCGGTCAATGGCCAGGGTCAACGGCGGCGTGGTGTATTGCGCAAATATGGCCGACTGTGAGGGCGGGCACAAGCCGGCGTGAGTAGGTTAAACGTTGAGTTTTATAAGGGCACCACGGGGTGACCAGCCCCTCCCCACCCAGCCCCACCCCTCCCACCCCCCACCCTCCCCACCCTCCCCACACAGCCCCTCCCCACCCTCCCCTCTCCACCCAGCCCCACCCCTCCCATTTTTGGATGCACAACGGACGAACAGACACAATAATCCCCTGTGGGCTGGTGGAACCAGGTGGTTCCTACCAGTATAATGATGCATACCGGAACATTAATAGAACAAAGGCTATCACAAAGGTACATTAAAGTTAATTAACAAAGGCACATCACTCTGATGATAATAATCTGGCAACGTGCGCACCTCCCTCACCCCGTGAAGGCGAGCTGTCCCGGCAGATGGAGGAGAAGCAGGCGCTCATCACGCAGCTGACGCGCGGGAAGCAGTCGTTCACTCAGCAGGTGGAGGAGCTGCGACGACAGCTTGATGAGGAGCTCAAGGTACGAGAGCAGAGAAGATGAACCTTGCACCGACACTCGACCCGTCTGACTGGTGTTTGCCCAGTGGCTCAGAGATCAGAGCCGTACTATAATTTAAAGAAGAAAATCTACGAGGCAACGTTTTGGGTAATGACCATTCTTCATAGCAGAATGGGTTGGACAGTGGAGGCACATGCCTGATATCTAGCACTGTGGAGGCGAGGGTTGGCGGACCACACAAATGTTGCACATCTGCCTTCCCGTGGGCATTGAGGTGATATAACCGGGCTTTAAAGAAGACGGTAAAACAAAGTTAAAATCAATGTTATCTCTCCTTTCTGTATGGGACAGAGTGTTGCTCCCTCACATGTGTGGGTTTTCTCTGGGTGCTCTGGGTTCCTCCCACATCAATAAACATTCATTAATTGACTAAAAACATCTTAGGTTATACAGATAACTCCATAGGTTGAGCGATTGATTGTCCGAGTTCACTGCTTGGCTGCCTTCCAACTTGTCTGTGGTTCTTCAATGATTGTGAGATGCAATTTGCACGAACGATGCTCTATGTATAAGTAAAAACTCTCGAACATTTTGTAATAGCACTATTCTTATAGCACAAGTAATTGCTATGTGTTCTCCCAATTCAGTAATCTTTGGGCAATTTCTCAAATTTTTATCTTAACGCCGGCACAGATGGCCTAGTTTTTTTTTTAATAACGAAACGGGACCATTGACGTTCACTGTGAAGCAGACAGCGCATATTCACCAGTAGCATTAACGAAGGCGGCCGTAAAACTTCTGCAACAAGGCGCAAACGCTGATTGAATGAGCATCGCTCTACTAATCCTGCCGCTAACCCTCACTACCCCCACACACCCACACCCAACCTGCCCCCCACAGGCGAAGAGCGCGCTGGCGCACGCGGTGCAGGCGGCGCGGCACGACTGCGACCTGCTGCGCGAGCAGTACGAGGAGGAGCAGGAGGCCAAGGCGGAGCTCCAGCGAGCGCTGTCTCGCGCCAACGCCGAGGTGGCGCAGTGGAGGACCAAGTACGAGACGGACGCCATCCAGAGGACCGAGGAGCTGGAGGAGGCCAAGTACGGACGACACTTTCCACCACCACTATGACCACCACCATCACCACCATCACCACCATCACCACCACCATCCTTTCCATTGTCCTCGTGCAATCAATCAGTAGCCTATCAATAAGAGTTGTAAAAGCCGTGGTAATCAACTCAGGGTGATTTTTTTCATAACGACTGCTGAGCACAATCACAGAGGTCCAAAATGCCAAGCAGTCGACAACAGTTGAAGGTGTAATACATTTCAATTCAAATTATATTTCTTGAATTGAGAAAAGTTGTAAGAATTTGGGAAAATAGATGGACGGAATCCTAAGTTGAGCAGTGCGGGGCCAGAAGCCGTAAGCAAAGTCTTTCAATCTGCAGTGTGGTGGTTTAAAAAAAGTATGGATGAGACAAAACAGAGTGGACCTCAACATGGACGGAGTAGGCCATGAGTGAAGATCATTGGAACAGTATGTATGTTACACCGTATCATAGCCAACCGTGCTAATCAGGTAGTACTGTGACGAGAGAGTTTTCAGCAGTGTGGTTTGTGGGTGAGAGCGTTGCCCTCGGAGGCGAGGTGGTGGACCTCTTGGCGTTTGACGTGGCACGGCTCCCGCTGTGGGAAGTGGCGCACGGGCGTGCTCCTCGCTCGTTTTATTTTGGAATCAAAAGTTAAAGATAAGACGAGCAAGTAGTGGGTCCGAGCGCTGCACGCACTTGCGACTCGCGCACATGCAGGTAGAGACGCGGATACGCACACACGTCCGTACACACTCACGTCTTGCACACTCAGACGTGCTCAAACATGCGTAGCGGATGTGAGGATACACAGACATACAGACACAAAAATATACACACACGCACATCTTGGCACCAGCCTCCTACTCTTCCCACTACCTTATCCTCCTCTTCCCCGTGGCCACGCAGGAAGAAGCTGGTGCAGAGGCTGCAGGAGGCGGAGGAGTCTGTGGAGGCCGCCAATGCCAAGTGCTCCTCACTGGAGAAGACCAAGCAGCGTCTGCAGAACGAGCTCGAGGACATGATGGTGGACGTGGAGCGTGCCAACGCCGCAGCTGCCGCCCTCGACAAGAAGCAGAGGACATTCGACAAGGTACGGGTCACACGGGGAGACACGGGTCACACACACGGTTCGTGTGTTTTGGAGATGTTGCTGCTGAACTTGGAGAATGCTACTAAGAAATGGGGCCTTATCATCAGCCCCAGCCTTCGACACTTCACGTGGCATCAAAAGAGCACCTAGCCTGGCACATCCGCCGTGATGTGACCACCACCGAGTGGGAACGACGCTTGTTGTTGAATGTGAGGAGTGGTAGTGTCGTGGTTAGCGCACTGCGATAAGAACCTAGCGACCCGAGATTCAGTATTATCCTTTTCTACCTCTGCCTGCTACCGTCTTTCCTTCAAGCAATTGCAGGGCTGCACCTTTCTGTCTTTCAATGCGTCCGCGGGTTTTGCCGCTCTGCGAGTCTCATCTCGGCGCCGTCGTCTCTGCAGGTTCTGTCCGAGTGGAAGCAGAAGTTTGAAGAATCACAAGCGGAGCTGGAGGGGGCGCAGAAGGAGGCGCGCTCACTCAGCACGGAGCTCTTCAAGCTGAAGAACGCGTACGAGGAGAGCCTCGACCACCTGGAGACCATGAAGAGGGAGAACAAGAACCTGCAGGGTGAGTAGTGAGTGTGTGTGCGTGAGAGAGTGGGTGTATGTGAAGTTGGCACAGTAGGGGGCACAGGTGATGCATCAGCCAGTCATCTCAGTCAGCCGATCCGTGGCACCTGGGTCTGCCCCGTGACCTCCTGCCAGCGGGCGTTCGACACTTCACGTGGCCTCAAGGTGCACATGGCCTGGCACAAGCGTCGTGGTGACGTCACCGCCACTTAGTGGCGAATGGCGGTTGTTGTTTTTGTTGTATGTGAAGAGCGATAGCATAGATTATGGCTGATGATCATGATGATGATAACGAGGTGTGATTTTCTGCGTGCACAGAGGAGATCTCCGATCTGACGGAGCAGATGAGCGAGGGAGCCAAGACGGTGCACGAGCTGGAGAAGCTGCGCAAGCAGCTGGAGCAGGAGAAGGTCGACCTGCAGGCGGCGCTGGAGGAGGCAGAGGTGACGTGGGGCAGGGGACAAACACAAAGAACCTCCATGGGCCGTTGGGGAAAGTGCTGTTAGCTAGCGCCCTAGTGAGGCAATGACGGCACACGGGAGGGTGGTGGTGTGGCCAGTGTCACTGCCAGCCACATTTGTCTTCCCAGCGCTGATGTTTTTACACACCGCACGGGGTACTTATTTAAGGCTGAATCGACCTAGCTGAGACACGGGACAAGTCCTAATATCACTTGCTAATGACGGTCGCATTAGTTGGGAATCGAATTTAGGTCCCCAGTTTCATACTGCTATGCACTAAGTACCGCTTACTAATACTGTCTCTAAATATAGTCGCCAACGTGACATTCAGGGACCCCGATAACTATCCAACGGATCGTCCTCCCATAGTGCCTGACAAAGTGGCACCAAAATCACAAGAGTATTAATTGATTCCTATTGATCCTATCCTCACGTTGGAAAGTTACATTTTTTTCCCATCTGACCCCAATCCCAGTGTCAGTTTGGTCAGCATTAGTCTAGTGAACGATGTGTGGCACTTCAATCAAGTCTTCATCTGTCGATGTCATTAAGACGTTCTCTTAGACTAGTCAAATGCAGCACATCTGGTCCAGTGAGGGGCATGCAATTTCGCCCCCCATATTATCAGGTCAGTCAATGAGTGTGTATCAGTAGAAAAATTTTTCAAATACATAGCCAATGACCATGTTTGGTTTTCATCAGTGCACTGCAGTCTCCAATAATGATAATGAATTATCTTAGTCTGCGTATTAATTCAAGCTAGTTAATTTTGTCGTATCGTAGCCATACTTTTATTTTCAGTGGGTAAGTCGTCGCCATCACCATGCTTGATATTTTAGTCCACTCATTGTCATTGTCTAAAATATTTTTTTTAAACCTAATTGACAAATATTTTGGTTGTAAACGAAATTATAATTGGTAGTTACGGCCAATGTCCTGCTTGATGAATTATTATCCACTCAATTATTGTTGACTCAAATAAAAAAACACTTTGTTGATGAGTATTTCTAATTTCGTTACCGAAACTCTCGCTGTCCCAACGCAGGCCTCCCTGGAGCACGAGGAAAGCAAGATCCTCCGCGCTCAGCTCGAGCTCAACCAGATGAAGGCCGACATCGAACGCAAGCTCTCCGAGAAAGATGAGGAGCTGGAGCAGTCCAAACGGAACAACCAGCGCGCCGTCGAGACGCTGCAGACCGCCCTGGAGGCCGAGACGCGCTCACGGAACGAGGCGCTGCGCATCAAGAAGAAGATGGAGGGCGACCTCAACGAGATGGAGATCCAGCTGAGCCACGCCAACCGCTCAGCCTCAGAGGCGCAGAAGCAGCTCAAGATGGTGCAGTCACAGTTCAAGGTGCGTGGATGGTGAAGTACAGGAATTAATCTGAAGTCCAGCAGGCTAGAATTGTAGTACGATTATAAATAGCCAAAGAGAGAATGGAGTATAAGTCAAAATATATGGGTGGGGAAGTCCTCATAATCATCAACCAGGATAAATCCGCTGCTAGTGGAAGGCTTCCCCGAGCAGTTATGATTCTATATGCATACGCGTAATTTTTCCTCCCTTGCAAATAATAATGGAATTTCTTAATCCTTCTGTTTCCCTCTGTTTCACCCTCTTGCTGCCCCCACTGTCTGCCACTACCACCAACACTTTATTCCACCACCATCATCTACCACCACCACCGCTGCACACACACAGGAGGCCCAGCTGCAGCTGGACGACGCCCTGCGGCTGGGAGACGAGTACAAGGAGCAGGCGGCCATGGCGGAGCGGCGTAGCACGCTCATGCTGGCCGAGGTGGAGGAGCTGCGCTCGGCGCTCGAGCAGACGGAGCGCGCGCGCAAGCTCGCCGAGCAGGAGCTCATCGAGGCCAGCGAGCGCGTGCAGCTGCTGCACTCGCAGGTGCGTCCTCATCGTCATCACAGCCACCATTGTTGTTGTCATCTTGATTTGTTCCGTGTGAATTAAAATGTCCAGGTGCTCACCCTTCCAATTGTTTCCTCCCTCCTGCTCCATCCTGCTCTTTCTTTCTCCCTCCCTCTCATATCCACCTCCTTCCCTCTTGATCCCACCTGCTCCCACCTTCTCTTTCGTGCTCCATAGAACACCAGCCTGATCAACCAGAAGAAGAAGCTGGAAGGAGACATGGGGGTGCTCCAAAACGAGGTGGAGGAGTCCGTGCAGGAGTGCCGCAACGCCGAGGAAAAGGCCAAGAAGGCCATCACAGACGTGAGAAACCCCATGAGCCACGGTCCATCCACCGCGAGATGAGGGAATCCCCACATCATCATTATCCATGATCTACTCAATGTGGATGAAGGCCTCTTCATGTCACCACCATATTCTCATCATCATTATTATCAACCATGGCCTATCCACTGCTGGATGAAGGCCTCTTGGTAGCATCATCATTATCATCTTGAACCATGATCTATCCACTGCCAGCTGAAGGCCTCCTCATGTCACCACCATATTCTCATCATCATTATTATCAACCATGGCCTATCAACTGCTGGATGAAGGCCTCTTGGTAGCATCACCATTATCATCATCATCATCTTGAACCATGGTCTATCCACTGCCAGCATAAGGCCTCCGCATACCACCACCACCAGTGACCCGTCAGTCCGACCTCCTCGGGCGAGAGTCTAACCGAGGTGTCGTGACCTGACAGGCGGCCATGATGGCCGAGGAGCTGAAGAAGGAGCAGGACACGAGCGCTCACCTGGAGCGCATGAAGAAGAACATGGAGCAGACGGTGAAGGACCTGCAGCACCGGCTGGATGAGGCCGAGCAGATCGCGCTCAAGGGCGGCAAGAAGCAGCTCCAGAAGCTGGAGGCCAGGGTAAGGAGAGGGCGGTGAGGGTGATACAAGGGGGTGTGAGATAATCGTTGTCCGATGAGGTCAAAGGGTGAAATTTTGAGGGGAGTGAGGTGAGAAGCAGGTGAGGCAAGGGGGATGACTGAGATGACTGGCAGATAATAACAGACCTCCCCATGTTGTCGTTTTAAAACTGTTGGGACAAGAGCTGTTTGCGATCACCTATGAAGGCCTAAACAAAGCACTAGTGAGTCGTGTGACAATCCACTGTCTCCCCATTGCACGAGGTAGTAATTTAAGGCTAAGGTGACCTAAGAAAGGCTCAAGACTGAATCAGATATTGGTCACCGATATCCGTGGCCGGGAATAAAACTGAGGCTATTGGATTTGTAGCAGTGGACTAATCACATTACCTACGACTGCTATTAGTTTGTTTACACTTGTTTAGCCAGGAAAGCCTCACTGACAATCAAGCTCTTTTTCAGGAGAGTATATGCTAAGTTTTACAGTCTAGACCAATGGTTACAATGTTTCCCAACTAAGTATCAAATTTTTCAAATTTGACAATGATACCTACACTTTTTTTAATAAGGCCATCCTTAACGTCAACTGTGAAGCAGACGGCTTGTACTTTAACGGTTAATACACTTGTAGAATTAACCAGAGTGGGAAATGTGCCACTTCTTGGCCATGATAGCACACAAACACATCCCTACTTATGCTCAAAAACCGCAACACTCACCTCCACCCCTGTGCTCCCCCCCGCAGGTGAGAGAGCTGGAGAATGAGCTGGAGGCAGAACAGAGAAGGAACGCTGAGACGGTGAAGGGAGCGCGCAAGTACGAGAGGCGTGCGAAGGAGCTCTCCTACCAGGTGATGCACCGCACCCATCTCCACGTGGACACATCGACACGTGTACACACACACGACAATTTGCTAGAAGGTGCTGGACCCCACCACTCATGATCCCATCCCTTGTTTGTGTGCGTGTGTTTGTGTGTGCATCTGCGTACACGTGTGGTGTACGTTCGCACGTATGTGTTTGTGCGTGTGTACGCTGAGGGCAGACGGAGGAGGACAAGAAGAATTTGGCTCGCCTGCAAGACCTGGTGGACAAACTTCAGCTGAAGGTCAAGGCCTACAAGCGGCAGGCCGAGGAGGCGGTAAGAGTCGCGGTGTCCGTGCAGTGCAGGGAGCTCACATCGATTTCATTTAATCGTTGTCCGATTTGGTTTTTACAGTTTTTTCCCCACTTGAAGCTGGGTATATAGCCCCTTGTTCTCGAAATTAGAATTCTGCAATGCACCACTTTTCAATGTGCTATCAGCGTTATGTAACCATAGAAACACTTCTGCCTATCAGTACACCACTCCAACATCTCAATCACAATGTCTGAACACCTCCCCATCACACACTACCTCACGACAACACCACCTTGCGCCACTAAACTGCGCTATCAACCCACCACCATCGTACAAACTATCACACTGCACAACATCACCACTTCCTTACCACCCATCACCAACACCTAAACCATCACCATCACACAGCATCATTGCTCCACCACCATTTCCCCCACAAAACCATAACCATACTCCACCACTAACCTACCACCTCACCATCAACACCAAACAAAATCACCACCACATTACACTACCTCCACCACGAGTCCATCACTCCTACCAATACCAATACCCGCTATTCACCACTAAGTGATGGTGACATCACCACGACGCCTGTGCCAGGCCAGGTGGACTTTGAGGCCACGTGAAGTGTCGAAGGCTCGCTGACAGGAGGTCTCGCTGACACCATGACCACCACCACCATCAATCACCACCACACTCTAGCACTAAATCAAAACAAATATCCCCCGGTATAGCCTGAACAGACTGTTAGGACAAGTGCTTTTAGCGAGCACCTATAAAGGCCGGCACCGTATATGAGAGGGTGAGTGACCAACGCCACGCCCGGCTGCCTTTGCCTCCCGAGTAGTGATCTTTACACACCACACCAGCTACTCATTTGAGGTTGAGTCGACCTAGGGGAGGCCCAGGACCGACTCAGATCATCGTCACTGGTGTTGACTGTAAGCGGAAATCGAACTAGGGGATTGCCGGGTTCGTAGCGCAGCGCTCTGTTGGCTACCGCTCCACACAACCACTAACATCACCACCGCTTACACCAAACCATTGCTCAGTTCATCTGCTTCCACTCCTGCCGGCAGGAGGAACAGGCGAACGGGAACCTGTCTCGCTACCGCAAGCTGCAGCACGAGCTGGAGGAGGCAGAGGAGCGCGCCGACATCGCCGAGTCGCAAGCGAACAAACTCCGCGCCAAGACACGTGACGCCGGCGTAAAGGTATAGTACGGGGGTTTACAAGGGTTTAGAGGGGGGAAACGGGGGTCTAGAGGGGTTTATAGGAGTGTGGGAATGCCACCAAAGTGCAATGGTAAGCATTCTATTCAATGCAAAGTTAATCGGTGTGATTAAATCACCCGGCGTGGCAGTTGAAACATTGGGCAAGTAGGGTTATGGGCATTAGGATTATGAGTTTGGGTTCCTTCATCGTTATGACCAGTATAATAACCCTGTGTGTGTCCATGTCTGTGTATATAACTTGCATGTCCTTGTGTGTGTCTGTGTGCCCTGCAGAAGGAAGAGTAAAGCTACCTCACAGACACCCTCGTAACACGCCAAACATGCGTAACCCTTACCGTAAAGAATCTCTTTGTTGCACATATAATATGTCAATAAAGAGGATACGGCAGGTGCGGCAACAATCCTCGACTCGTGTCTGTTTTCTGGTCAGCAGAGGGCACACTCTGCACACGATTCCGCACACACACACACAAGGATATCCCTGATAAAGTAACTGAACACAGCCTGTTGGGGCAAGTACTGTTAGCGAGCACCTATGAATGCCGGCACGGTACAGGAGAGGATGGTGTGGCCAACACAATTCCCGGCCGTCTTTGTCTCCCCAGTGTTGGTGTTTACACGTTGCACCCGCCACTCCCACAACACACACATTGATACGTATGCTTAATGATGCACGATATATACACACACACATGCACAATGATGGATACACATAAAGCGTATGAGCGGTAGTAACACGACCGCATTCCCTGTACTAGGCTAACATGAGTCTAGGATGTCGTCGGGTTATGGGACAATTTGTATCTTCGTTGAACTCTTAAATCAAGTCAATAATTGTGGTAGTCATGCTATTCTTATAGCACACAGCTATCACAAAGGTGCTATGTTTGACACATATAGTCTGCAGTAGTTTCGGAGTAAGGGACAATATTGCCATATATTTTCCCAACACGGTAGTTCAGAGGTATTTTTTTGTTATTGGCATGAACAGTAACACCGACACACACGATTGACTCTTGTTAGAATAGCGTCGTGGGATCTTTAACGTCCACTGCGAAGAAGGCTACGTACGTTTTCATAACACCCTCGCGGTATCGACCAGGGACGCCTCGGGGTTCGAACCGAGAACCTAAATCCCTAGCCCCAGGCGCCGCCCAGATTCGACCCACGCCGCACTGCCGATTACAACTTTTATTACACAGGCATCAGTGGGGACACTCGTGATTGTTAAAACAAAACTTATCATCATCTTCCGAGGCTTCGAACTCGTGTGGGACAGCCCGAACCCAACAGCCTCGGCGTGGAGCTACAAATTATATTATAAGATGCACCGGAAAGTCACACCCCCCCCCCCCACATGAAAAAAACATCAACATAGCAGGAACCCTCTTTAATAAAAAGGGTCGTGAGACTCGGTTGAGGTTTTTTTCCTGAGAAAATAAGAAACATTCTTATATTTGTCATACCCTCCCCGTAGCAGTCACACTCACGTATTAGCCCCACCTCGTACCCCTCACCCCATACCGCACCACCACCGCCCTCCTCCTGCTCCCCGCCAGAGCCTCTCGTCACGAGTCATTACGAGAAGGAATGTTTGTGACGCCAGATGTAATCACAGCCGCCCCTGAGTCTTGCCCTCCCCCCTTCACCTCATCATCCTCTCTCTATAAACTCATCGTTATCACATTATCATCCTTTCAACAACTCCTCCTCTTCATGAATATATAATTCTCGTCCTGTCCACATTCAATTGACAGATCAAACGCTGAACATGAGTCAATCACCACTTCTCTCCCCACTCCAGCTGCTACAACTGCTTCACGTATTCCTGATGCTGATAACTGCGTCCATTCGTTCCGCCGCTACAACTGCTGCTACTCCTGATCCTTCTTTTTTTTGCTAGCGCTCGCACTCCTCTTCATCCCGCTGCTGTGCCTCGTCTCACTCATTACGAGGCGCCTCCATCCCTCACTGTGCGCCCATCCCTTCCCCTCACCTCACCCCCCTCACCCCGACTCCGTCTGCTCTCCTCGCCCCACGCCCATCCGGATCCCGCCCGCCAACTGCGCCCAAACGGGGGTTCTGCTCAAGACAAGGGGACCCGCCCTTCCCGGGGTCTCGTCGGTGGCGTAGCGTGGTTGGCATGGGCCGTGGTGCACGTAATGAATGGGGTCCCCTGTGTAATTCCCCCACCCTTCTTCGTAGCCCGTGCCTGGGCCCCTTTGGCTTGTGGGGGGGCCATAGCGCAGTTCCACCGCCTGCGCACTTTCAAAGCTATGCCACTGGTTCCTATGTTGAACTTCTTTCGCATCGTACGTAGCCGTAATCGGAGGTGCGTATAGGTTCCGTGTCAGTTGTCCATGGGTTTCATGCAAGTTGTTTTGAGTCTACAGTACATTATATGCGAGTTTATGGGTCTCTTGCGTGAGTCTGTGGGTCTACGTGGGTGTACGGGATCTTTATGCGAGTCTCTGGGGGGACTGTGATTTTTTTCGGCAAAGTCTAATATTTATTTTACCTACGTGACTGTACCGAAAGAACCAAAGAGTTTGGATCCTTGCAGTCACGAAAACTTCAAATCTAGAAGGGACTCTGCGAGTCCGTGGGTCTGTGTCCTCTTCGTGGGGAGCGGTAGGGCAGCGGTGAGCGACCTGCAATATGAACCCGGCGACCAGAGTTCGATTGTGGCCACCCACCCCCTCGTGTGCCGTGCCGGCCTTCATAGATGCTAACTGCACTTGCCCCAATAGTATGTTAAGGCTATATGGGGGGGTTCTGTGTCTTATGGGATTTTTATGAGAGTCTATGGGTCTTTTTTGAAGCCACTAGAGCAATGGATTTTTAAATCTAGATCGAGAACTCATGTCTTTAGAACTGCATTGTGTGTTTAGCTTGTTGTTCGTTTGTTGCACGGTTGGGTTACTGGGGGCCCCTGTTGGCCTTTAATGCGGCCCATGAGGTGCGGCCCTCGACAAAACACAACACTTCTAGATTTGAAGCTTTCGTGACTGCAAGGATTCATATTCTTAGTTTTTTCGGTAAAGTCACGTAGGCAAAAAATTTAAATTACTAAAAGTTAAATAAAAATAAAATAAAAATCACGTCACAGTGACGTCATGTGATTTTTATTTTACTGTATTAATTTAAATTTTTTACCTACGCGACTTTACCGAAAAAAACTAATAAAAAAACACAACACGTTTAAAACGACACACCCCCCCCCCCCCCATCATGCTGTCAACCCCCCAATGGGTTCAGGTTTGGCGGCCCCTCACACTTGATTATGGGTCCTGGTGCAAGAAGTTGCTTCTTTATATTCTAGATTTGAAGCTTTCGTGACTGCAAGGATTCATATTCTTAGGTTTTTCGGTAAAGTCACGTAGGTAAAAAATGTTAATGAATAAAAGTAAAATAAAAATCACGACGTTTCGGAGGCAACACAAGCTTCCGTCTTCAGGTGGAACCGTCACAGCACGATAGCTGTATCAAGTAAGAGGATACTTAAGTAAGAGGATACTTGATACAGCTATCGTGCTGTGACGGTTCCACCTGAAGACGGAAGCTTGTGTTGCCTCCGAAACGTCGTGATTTTTATTTTATTTTTATTAATTTTAATTTTTTACCTACGTGACTTTACCGAAAAAACCTAAGAATATGCTTCTTTATAGCTCATAGAATTCCTCTAGTGCAGTGGTTCTTAACCTGGAGGGGGGAGGGGGTAGCGAGACACGGAGAGATTTTTTTTACTGAGAAGTTAAATCATCGACAACACGAATTAAGCACGGACAGGTACGTTACAACTTACTTTGTTTCATCGAACTCCTATGTACTTATTCATATTCTTGGTTCTTTGGGTAAAGTCACAGTAGAAGGGAAATAATAAAATAATAAAAATATAAAACAATACAATTGTCACGACGTTTCGACTGCAACACAAGCAATCATCATCAGGTGTGAAATCCACAGCAAGAAAATTTGAAAAAACAATAATTTTATCGTTTTATATTTTTCTTATTTCCCTTCTACCGAAAGAACCAAGAAGATGTTTCGGTAAAGTCACGTAGAATGGAAATAATAAAATAAAACACAGACCTGGTCTTCACCTGAGGACGGCTGCTTGCGTTGTGGCCGAAACGTCGTGAGAATTATCTTATTATGTTTTATTTTATTATTTTCCTTCTACGTGACTTTACCGAAAGAACCAAGAAGATGAATCCCTGCAGTCACGAAAGCTTTAAATCGAAATTTTACCGAAACAACCAAGAATATGAATCCCTGCAGTCACGAAAGCTTTAAATCAAAACCCCTATGTACTTATTAACATTGTCAACTTGTTTTAACAATCGAGAAGCCCAAATGGGCTTGTTGCAAGGCTGCAGTAAAAGGTTTAAGGTCTTAGTGGTGTAAAGATTCTGAATAGGCGAAGCCTGTGGGTCCACCCGTAACGGGGCCAATTAATTTAACATAAACAAAGCATTTAATTCTTTATCTCCGCGTATAAATAAATAAAACTCGGCATTTCGGGGCTATCCAGACCAACATTTGGTAAAACATTATTAAGGGTTCAAAGGCATCTTACGTTGTTTAGATATCTACAATAGTGTTCAAGTTCATGTATTAGATATAGCCCTGTGAGACATTCGGCTCTTGAATCGGGTGCAACCGCAACAAACAAAAAACTAAAACATGAACAAAAAACATGTTAAAGTGACTATTTGACTAAGTGCAAACAGAAAATTCAGCAAAATATTGCAGAAAAAACACCGAACACCAACGCTTTGTGCACAAATCCCAGTGGGATGCAAGTCAAACAACAACAACTTAGATTAAGACGTAAAATCGTGGCTAAGCTGTAGAATGTTTAGAGAACTGACAATTTGGCACAAATACCAATCCGCTCTTAGCTTGGAATGCGACATTCAGTTTTACAAATGTTGACTTCTGAGGGGAAGTGGAGGGCGATTAAAGGCGACCATCACCACCATCGTTATCCTCATCGGCCACGATCTCCCTCCCCCACCACGAAGGCGACATAAACACCTTTCTTGTGAAAGATTAAACTCGCTCCGTCTCCACTCTCGACGTCCTCTCCCCCTCCTCCTCTGTCGTTTAATTCCACCTCAATTACCTCAAAAGTTGTTGTTTTTTTTACAAAAACATTTCTGAGGGGGAATGTTGCTTTTGAGTTTGACACTAAAGACGAAGTATACTCGTCTTTAGTGTCAAGTCTATGCGTTCCTTATTTATTTGTTTTTGTTTGATACTAAATATTAACAAAATCCCGCCGAGGTTTTTAGCCGTCGAACTGTTCCAACCGTCGCCGGAAGTGACGTCGCTCGCCCGCTTTTCCCGCCAAATGTCATCGCGTGACGTCATTGTTCCCCGCACGTGGCGCGCGCTG